AATCACTGTGCTTTGGTCCTCTTTTAACTACGGCTAAAAGGCGATAAATGCAATGGTACGGACACGTATTAAGATATAACAGTCTCTAAAAAAAACAATAATTCAGGGCTAAGGAGAGGGGAAGAGGAGAAGAGGCAGACCAAGAAAGACCTGGATACAAAACATGACTGACTGGACAGGCCTTAACAACGAAGTTCATCGCATCTACCGTCACATGTGAAGAGAGCTGATCAGCACGTCAGCAGCAACTGGTGACCCAACGACAAGCAGTGTCACATGATGATGATGAATAGCATCTAATGCTAAAGGTCACCTACCTTCCTCCTGTTGGCCTCGCACGCATTTACCGGTGCAGGATGCCATAGCAGCACATGCAGATTCCAGGAGAGAGAAACAAGCTCCGATTTCCACCGCTCACATTCCGGAATATTCTTTGGTTTCTCCAAATAAGTTGGGAACCCAGGTGGCGCAAGGGTCAGATACCTGCCTGTGGGTCTAAAGGTCTCGGGTCCCAATCCACAAGAACGCGATTCTCAACTTGTTGGGTAACTGTTACTAAACGCCTTATATCTCAAAGAGTTAGGGTTAAAAGCAGTATATTACTGTACAAACTGTGGGAAAACTGTAAAAGAAGATAGCGGGGATTTTGCCTCAACTACAAGTAGTCTTCCTTTGGAGGTGGTGGTAACAAAAGCAATGATATGGCTAGAGACAAAGAAATTTTCCCGTGCGTGCTTTCTGAGTGATTCCATGAGCATGCTTAAGAAGATAGAGATTGGCTGGATTCTAAGAAAATGGTTGAGTCGCTGAGGAAATCTCGTGTGATAGGAATTAGTTTATTTTTGTGTGCCAGGATACTCTAAGGTAAGAGGGAATGAATGAGCGGACTGGCTTGCTGGTAGGGCCACGGTAGGTACAGGTAAAGCAATGGACCAGGCCGACATTCTCAATGCTCTCAGGGAGGCAGGACGAAAAGATGATTCAGGAAACGATGTTGAGTCGGCAATACTCACAAGACCACAAGAACATCAGGTCAAAAGGGGTGTCGCCAAACATGAACACTATACAGGTAGCCAAAGAAAAATTGTAAACCAACATAGAACTGGTGTTATCAATCGCCACTCACTGAGGAATTTACTGAAAATGGGATCCGAGCGCTTACATTGTCCGATGTGCTATAATGATATCTTTCGATTAACTAACAATCTAACAAACTAACTAGCTAACGGGCTAGCTACAAATATAGCTAACTAACTAACTTTCTAGCTAACGGTCACGCCTGAAAAAAAAAAAAACAATCGCCATGCGTATTTTAACCCACTACCTCTCCGCAGTAGAGCGTCTAGCCGCTACACTATGGTAGCTCCGATATGAGACGGATCAAGAAATGTATAGGGCGCTGTCTGGTCCTGAAAAAGTTTTTTTTTTAATGACCTGGGCTCCTAGGTCTATCCAGTTTCCAACTAGATTTGATTTGATTCAAGAACCAACATCACATCACTCGGGGCATTCCCACAAGTGCTCAGTCCTCATCTTCAGCAGCCAGCGAAGAGTTCCGATACAAATGGTGCCAGTAGCACTCTAATTAAACGTCCGTCTTGCCTTTCCTCGAGCATCTGCCAGAACCTCTCGTCCCCCCCCCCCCCCACATCAATCTCACCAGACTGTGGTGATCCATCTGCTCCTCCGAACTGTACACGCTCTCCCACAAGGCACAAACCATGTCTGCCTTATCATGCATCAGTATTCCGCCAAGCTGTGTTCTTTTTCCAATCCGCCACGGCGCTTGAGAAGACCAAAATATTTCAGTTTCCGAGACAGGATGCTGTTTATTAGCCAATCTACCTTGATGTTCAATCTTTTAAAATGTCATTACTTCTTCTCTTCTTTGTCCATAGTGTATTACAAAACCAGGAACGACAATATTTTCACAACATACAGTCATATAAAATACACCATGTAAAATAAATTACTGGCAGTATATGGGACAGAAGGCTGCGAGCAGAACTGACAAACAATGCCAGTTACGATTAGACTTAATAAGCAGGACTTTTTTTTTGTCAACGTTTTTGACACTTTAGACACTTTAAAGCGAGTACTGGCACCTTTAAAAAAAAAACAGTCCTGTTAATTAGAACAAGAAATAACCATACCGACCGTGTGATGAGCAAAGATGGAAGATATCTTGATGTGGTGATTTGCAGTACGCAAGGCAGAAGGCATCTGAGTTTAAATATCTGGGAACTACATTTACCGAAGATGGAAAAATGGATAAAGAAATTAACATTATATGCAGTAGAGCAAAACAAGTATTGGGACAGCTAGCCCCCCCCCCCCCCTCTTACAGCATAAGACAATCCCAATCAGCACAAAGAGACATCTTATTCAAAGCATATTTTTTCCAATTCTGTGCTACCAGTGCCAGACTTGGTCACTCACAACAAACCATAAAAGAACATTAGTAACCACGGAAATGAGATGTCTGAGAAGGGCTTTAGGAGTGACCATAAGAGATAAGATTAGGAATGAGATCATAAGAGAAAAAGTCGGCACAGAACCAATTCTGGATTACATACGAAGACAGCAAGTGAAATGGTTTGCCTACTTAGAGAGAATGCCTTGTGACACCATACCATACAAAGCATACATAGAAAGAGAAGAAGAGCACGAGGTAGACCAAGAACAAGATGGAAGGATAACATCAGAGAAACTCTACAACAGCACGATGTGCCTATGGTCGAGGCGGCCAGAAGAGCTAGAAACAGAACCTTATATCTCCCTCGACACCCACAGCGGTAACAGAGGAAGTGAAGAAGAAGAAGAAGGCAGAAGGATGTGGACAACATCTAATGATCGACGTTGGATTACTTGAACTTTAGGAATAACAACAAGATAGTGGCCTTGTATGTATGCAAAACCGTAGATCTGTAGAGATGATGATCTGGCAAAACTCTATACGGGCTGCAAAAGCAGTGAACGCTGAATTTCACATACAAAGGCAGTGGCAACTCAGAAAATACGGTCTCGGGCAAGGTACAGATGCCAACAGGGAAAATAAACAGTGCGGTTCTGGCGCGCATGTCGGTGCAGTTTGCCTGTTTATTCGTCTTATATTACTTGCTTTATCGCCCAGGGCTCTTTAACGGTATTCTTTTTCTTTGTATTTCGAATGTCGGTGAGATGTCTTCTTGGCAGTTGGAGTGCGGGGCGTGGCGTGGGGGGGGGGGGGGGGGGGGGGGGGGTGTTGAGGAATAAGAGTATGTGAGAGAGAAAGAGTGTTAGGGATATTATATGTTGGGGAGAAAGAATGTTATACCGAAAGAAAGATGGTGAGATAGAATGTTGAGGAGATAGAAAGGTAATGGGCTAGCATTCTGAGGAGATATAATATTAGCGAGTCAGTTTGTTAGGGAGATAAAATGTTGGGAAGGAAGTGATTGGGAGATACAATGTTGGAGAGAAATTGTCCAGGAGTCAGAATGTTGGAGAGATAAAATGTTGGGGAGAAAGTGTTGGGGAGATAGAATGGGAGATATAACGGGAAGAAAGTGTTCGGGATACAGAATGTTGGGAAAATTATATGCTGGGGATACAGAATGTCATAGAGAAAGAAAGAGGTGAGATAGAATGTTGGGGAGATAGAATGTTGGGGAGATAGAATGTTGGGGAGATAGAATGTTGGGGAGATAGAATGTTGGGGAGATAGAATGTTGGGAGATAGAATGTTGGGGAGATAGAATGTTGGGGAGATAGAAAGGCAATAGGTTAGCATTCTAAGGAAATATAATTTTGGCGAGTCAGTTAGTTGGGGAGATTAAATATTGGAAAAAAAGTGGTCGGGAGATAATGTTTGAGGAGAAAGTGTTGAGGAGAAAAAAATGTTGGGGAGATAGAATGTTGGGGAGATAAAATGTTGGAGGAAAGTCTTCCAGAGATAGAGTGTGGGGGAGTGAGAATGTTGGGAGATAGAATATTGGGGGATAAAATGTTAGGAGATAGAATGTCAAGAAGAAAGAATGTTAGGGGATTGAATGTTAGGAGATAGAATGTCATGGAGAAAGAATGTTGGGAGATAGAATGTTAGGGGATAAAATGTTTGGAGGTAGAATGTCAAGGAAAACGAATGTTGGGAGATAGAATGTCAAGGAGAAAAAATGTTGAGAGAGAGAATGTCAAAGAGAAAGAATGTTGGGGGATTGAATGTTGGGAGATAGAATTTCACGGAGAAAGAATGTTGGGAGATGTAAGAATGTCGAAGAGATAGAAAGTTGGGAGACAGAATGTTGTGGAGAAAGAGTGTTGGGAAGATAGAATGCTGAGAGTAAGAATGTTGGGAGAAAGAATGTTAGGAAGATAAAACGTTGGAAGATAGAATGTTGGGAGATAGAATGTTGGGAGATATAATGTTGGGAGAAAAAATGTTGGGAGAAAAAATGTTGCGCAAACAAGATACTGATGGGAATGAGTTCTGTGGAGATAGAACTTGGAGGTGAGGTTATTAAAAAAAAAAAGCGAATATATATATTATTTCTAGGTCTTTCCTCCAACCCTTTTTCTTCCATCTTTCTGTCATATTTTTTTTTCTAGACTAGTTCCAAATGATGGGCGTTACATACAACCCCCTCACCCCCCCCCACACACACATAACACAGGGGGGGGGGGCGGATTAAGCATTAAGCAAACAAAGCATGGGCTAAGGGCATCACAAAAAGGGAGAGGGGAGGGCCACAGAAATGTGCAATACCCTTAGATCCTTTCACGAAGAAGCCTTTTATCTCTTATCTGAGCATAGGCCTCAAACTAATTATACCATATATACTTGTTCACGCAGGACTGGTAACAATTTGCTGCGAAACGTTTCTACGGGAGATGACCAAGCTCATGTCAATCTCCGTAGTCGTTTCTTACGGAACACATCATAGGTTATCGTATTAGTTATTTATTCCATTTTCAATTTCAAATCCCCCCCCCCCCAACCACCTTTATTTTCAAGCATCAACATGGCCTTAACCTTCAACATCGCCATGGTTGCTGCCCTGACCTTTGCCACTTGTCTACAAATAGTGAAAGCACAAACTGCTTGTCCCAGCCGGTGTCGATCCTGCGACAACAACGTGGCTGAGTGCTCCCAGCGCAGCTTGACAGCCCCACCAAAGGTAAGCATCAACAGCAGGCAGATGCATAAAAGGGTTTTAAAAAATGTAATCTAAACAATAAAACATACCAAAAAAAAAAAAGATGGGGAGCGGTGGTGTAGTGGGGTGAAATCTCAGAAAGATAGCACAAGTAAACCTGGTGTCATTGTTCATTAATAGGGGCCAAAAGGGCTATCTTCCGAATAACGGTCCCAAATTATCGAGGCCGAAAATATACCCCAACAGGGCCTCAGTCACATGTAAATTGCGCACTTCCGGCGACTACCGCCGAGAGTCCCACGCCGTGGATTGGGGCTAAACTAGATGGCTGGGACTCACAAGCAGCAGCTACCGCATCTCCTGCAGCTTCTTTCATCTTATTTGCTCGTGAATCCGATACATATAGTTTAGCCCCACTGCACGCCACGTGAAGGGGCGTTTGAGATACTCTCGGCAGTGGTGGAAGTCCACAATTTTCATGTGACTGAGGCCCTGTTAGGGTATATTTTTCGGCCTCGATAATTTGGGACCGTTATTAGGAAGATAGCCGCCAAAAGTATAATTTGATGGCTGTTCAGACGAATATTTCATTTCACTTCTTTCTGTTAGTGCCAATCAATACATATATATTTGTTAATCATACAAAAAAGAAAAATAAATTTTTCTTTAAGTCCATGCCAATTGGCGTTTGTAGTCATGTCTATCCACAAACTTCTGTCTTATGTACTTTCAACAGATGATCCTCCATGCCATGATGTCAAACTGTCCAGTATTTTTTTCTCTCAGTCACCCTCTGCCTCTCCTCCAACTTTCCTGCTGTCACGATATACTCCTGTTTTCCCCTTCTCATCACATGACTAAGAAAAGTAAATTGTCTCTTTCTGATGCGGGCAAGTTTCTTCACGAGTCAGTTATTTTCAAGAATCTTCCTTATGCTGTTTATCTTTCCAGGGTATTCTCATCATTCATCTATCAACACTTATAGCTTAAAAAAATTGGCTTTATGTGGCTAAGATAAATTACCTAATTTATAGCTAAGGAAAACTGTAAATGTGTGGCTAAGATAAACTTGCTACTTGCACTTAAATGAAACTTGTTTGGCTATGTTGATTAAAATAAATTACATAATTTATGGCTAAAGATAACGTGGAACATGTGGCTAAGAGAAACTGGCTATCTGTGCTAAAAAATGGTTATATGTGGCTAAGAGAAACTGGTTATATGTGGCTAACAGACATTAGCTATATGTGGCCAAAAGAAATTAAGTATATGGAAAGAAAAAAATAAAAGAAGCTTTTCCACCTCTTTAGGCATAATAGGCATAAATAGACCTATATTTTATAGATCAATTGGCATGCAATGTGTGATGTGGTCAATATCATGCCGGCCACCTTTACTTCCCAGGACCTTACGTGGTAGTTATTTAAGCCTAGGTGGAACTTATATCCAAGATCATTTCAGGACCAAAAATCTGGCTAGATCAGGACATAAACCCATGACCTTCGGAACTGCAGGCGAGGGAGCTAGCTTTATGTGGCTTAGAGAAATTTGGTACTTGAGATTAAGACAAAAGTTACCTTATAAAGTTCAAGGCAACTAAATATTTACTATAATGATATGCTCGATGTGTGTGTGTGTGTATATGTATGTGTATGTGTGTGCACGGCAAAGTTGAAGAATCTGGAAAAGAATTTTTGTCATAAATGTCCTAAGGACCCCCATAACAACCATGACATTTATTTTGAACAGTTCTATCCACAAGGCATCAGAACCATTAACCTTGAAAACAACCACATCCGGGTCATTGCAGAGAGGACTTTTGGAAACCTCGACTCGGTGGAGGTGCTCAAGATCAGCAGCAACAAGATCGTTGCCATCCGAGATGACTCCTTCAGGTGAGGTGGAAAGTTGGAAAGAAAACATCCAGGCCAGTAGATGTGCCGACCGGAAGAAAAAAAACTAGGGGACAAAAAGGGGGGGGGGCCTTATTTAAGTGGTAATAATAATAACATATGAATGAACAAATTTTTTTCAAAAGACTACTAAAAATCTTTGACCTAACCCAGTTTCACAAATCGCAGTTAGACTCAACAATTTATTCTTTGACACACTTTCGTTCAGCCCAACAAAACATCTCTGACAGTCCAGGGTGAGACCCAATAAACATCTCTGACACATCACAGTCAGAGTCGGGGGGGAAAAACCCAAAAAAACCTAGTCAACAAATATTTGCAGAAGTAGGATGTGTAGACCAAAAAGCACAAATATCACAGCCACGTTGTAAATGGGCACACCACAATTATATCTTTGGATCAATGCAGAAGAAGACAACAAAATATCTTTCTTTTAAAGATTTCTAAAGATTTCTATCCTTAAACCCAGTAAGACTTGACAAAACATCTTTGACATATGACAGTCTGATCTAATAAAATTCTTTCACACATCATAGTAAAACTTGACCAGATTTTTGACCCAACCCAGTAAGACTTGACAAAACATCTTTGATATATCACATCTTTGATATATCACAGATTCATTCAGTAAAATTCTTTCAGGCATCACATTTAACCCCAACTAAAAATCTTTGGCCCAACCCAGTAAGACTTGATAAAACATCTTTCATATATCAGATTCAATAACATTCTTTCAGGCATCACAGTAAACCTCGACTAAAAATCTTTGGCCCAACCCAGTAAGACTTAATAAAACATCTTTGATATATCACAGTTAAATTCAATAACATTCTTTCAGGCATCACATTTAACTCCAACTAAAAATCTTTGACCCAACCCAGTAAGACTTGATAAAATATCTTTAAAACTCGACCTGCAGGTTTCCCTGACCTAAAAGGATTGCTGGAATATTGAGAAATCAGCCCAACTGAAGAAACTTCACACTTTCCTTCTAATAAGTCTCAACCTTGAAGAGGTATAGGAGAGCATTCTAGTTTCACTAGGAGCTTTGTCAGTAAGAGTTTAGCGTCATTTGCTCAATGCGCCAATTATGTCAAAAGAGTTCTTTACTTTAACTCACTTTTCCCAGTCCCTACAAAATATAAATCCATAAAAAATTACCAACTCTTTCTAATTTGTTTTGATTAGTGACTCTCTTTATCTGCCTCCGGTCTCATAGATGATATTCTGTCAAGGCACTGTTAGATTTTTCATTAACCAGCAGATTCTTTACAGCACACCTAAAAGTCTCTTTCTCTCTAGCCCTGTGTACTTTTATAGCCAAAGCATCTTCCAAGTGTCATTTCCACCTTCACAGAGTTTGGCCTTTGTCTCACTTTCCAGAAACTGTACCCGCCATCACCCTTCTCTTTAGGCCACCATGATGCTGAACATGGCCAATATACATCAGCTTTTGAGACCAGGTGCTGTCAATTCTTCTCGATGTTCAGATCATATAGGATGTTGGTGTTTTTCTTCTTCCTGGTCTATGGCATTCTAAGAATTTATTAGGAAAGACAAGACTTTTACAGAGGACAAATGTAATACTGTTGAAATCAGAAAGTGATAACATTTCTCCCACAGGTAACAAAGACAAACTGTTCTATTTCAGTTCTTTCCCCAACCTGGTCAGCCTCGATTTGATGGACAACCGCATTTCACGCATCAGCAGAAGAGCTTTCAAAGACCTAAACAAGCTTCGAACCCTTTCCCTCAACCGCAACAGGCTGGACTCCCTGCAGGGCATCCTTCAGTATGTCCCTAACCTATTCCAGCTCAACGTTGCGAACAACAGGATAACCACCATTGGTCAGAACGACCTGTCGCCGATATCAAGAGTCCACTACCTGGATTTGCGGGATAACCTGATAACCAGTATTCACAGCAAGGCCTTTAAGAATCTGATACACATAAGGTTATTGTAGTGTTTCCTGTCTATACCGAATAAACATAAGGTTATTGTAATGTTTCCTGTCTCTACCGAATAAACATAAGGTTATTGTAATGTTTCCTGTCTATACTGAATTAACATAATGTTATAGTACCTACTTAGGATAGTGTAGTGGTGTTATGTCTATAAATGAAAATATACTGCAGTACTTATCTCAATAAATAAAAAACATAAGTTTATTATGTTTCATTTATATAACTAATAAACATATTGTTATTGTAGTGTTTCATTTCTATAACCCCTTAGAACTGTTGTAGTGCTTCTCTGATGTTATCAGCCCATCTTTTTCTTGTAAGAGATAGTAGGGATTTGACAAAGGTGCAGCCTTCTATCACTAGACTGCTACAGTAGCCACAAAGGACATCCTGGGTCACTGTGGCCAACAGAACTCTGGTCAAGTTGCAACAGGCCAAGCAAGTCAGCAATGAATTTAGTATTGCTACAATGACTATAGTTTTAGTTCTATATTTGCTAAAGTTATTGCAATGCTTTTGTGTTTAAAATGAAAAATGCTGTTACTGTAGTGTTACTGCACATCAAACAAACCATTCAGTCCATAAATGCTTGGATCCCCTCCTCAGTAAATCCCACAGCATGTAGCTGCTGACAACACTAATTCTCTGTTGGTTTCTTATTCTTCTTTGGCTTCCTGCATACTGCTTTTGTCTAGCCACATTCTTTTTTTAACCTGCTGCTTGTAGTCTCATCATGGTTGCAGATTCACAGTCATCACTTGGTTCTGACAAATGTCTTACTTCTCGTACAGCATACAGTACATCAGCCTGTTGCATGGCTCATTCGCCCTCCATAGCAGCCTTTGCTGCAAGCAAAGCCTAGCAGCTTGATCATTTCCTTGCATATCTGCGTACCCTTGCCAAAATGAAACTTGATTTTTGCCACCCCCGATCACCTAAAAGACGCCAACCACTGTCTTCAGACCCAGCTTATCTCCATCTTCCTGAGCAGACTCACTAAGTTACTAAGAATGCATGAGTGGTTGAAAGTCATGTCTTCAGCCATGTTACTGCTCTGATCACTGCCAGGACCCATTCGATAAGGTTTGATAAACCTTGTAAACGTTACTGTCAAAAATAAAAAAAAAAAAAAGGTTATTGTAGTGTGTCGTCTCCATAACTTATATATATATATGCGTTTGTTGTAGCCTTTCATATTTATCCAGCACAAATGGGTTACGCTGCTCTCCACAGATATTTGTTCCTCAACAATAACCCACTTACATCCACACCGGCATTTGAGTTTGGCAGCCAGGTTCTACAGCTGGTGGACTTCTCCAGCTGTGAGCTGAGGCAGGTCCCTGGGCCACTTCCAGCTTCTGTGTCAGATCTCCGACTGGGAAACAACAGGATCATGCAGGTATGTCATGTTTGCGGCAGGCGAGGGGAGAAGTGATTCTGTCAAGGGGAAAATATTTTGCGATCTTCCTGTAATTTTCAAGTATTTTTTAAAATCTATATCTTGCTTTTCTAATCACTTTCTAGCACGCCATCATTTTCTCTGAATGATTAGAATGATGGGCTGTCATGAAGGAGACCAGGGTTCAAACCCCAAACAGTTAGTAGTGACTGCGCTAATCTTGTTACATCCTCACACCCTGCCCCCTTACTGCTATTGATCTTCCTTGCCGGGCTCTCTAGCGTAGTTGGCTAAACCAGATAGTTGGCTAAACCGGATTGAGTGGTGACCGGGTGACGAACTCCTTATGATCCGGGTTTACTCCCAGGAGTAGGCAGAAAAGCCACATTTTCTCCCAGATTTACGGTATTTAGGATGAAATCAAGGCCGAAAGGTTGCGATATCCATAATACCGAGCCTAAGGGTTAACAACTCACGGCTTCTGGATACTAAAAAAAAATTTGATCTTCCTTTTATTTTCCATGTGTCTTTGGTAAGTATCTTGCTATTCTTATAGGTTTTATGCCTTTATTTGATATTTTGATCTTCCTATCAAATTCTAGAATGCCTGCAACTGAATTTCCTATCATTTTCTTTATTAAGACCTTGACAATGTGGTTTTGAAGAAGAATCCTTAGAATTTCTTTGATGGCCAAAAAAAAAAGGCCACACAGATGTTTTTAAAGAGGGATCAAAGGCAACTTATCACAAGCATCAGAAAAAGAAAGACATCATTGTTTGGTCATATTATGAGAAGAAAAAAAAAACTGGAATATGTTGTGACCACTAGAAAGATCTGTGGAAAAAAGAGACAGAGGAAGACAACGTAAGATTATTCTTGACAGCTTTTTTGTCATGGCATGAAAGGGTGCCAGCACACACACTGATACATGCTGCTGGAGTCTGCAGACTGTGGAGAGGCAAGATCACCCATACTAGTCGATAAGGCACTTTATGATGATGATAATTCTTATTTTTTGTCCGACTTCTCTGGATATACTGATATTCCTAAAATCTTCTGTATGCTTTCATCTGACACACTGACCTTTGTATCTTCATCTTCCAAATGTTTTCTAGCATATCTGCAGTTTATATTTTGATCTTCTTATTTCTGTTCAGTTATATTTTCAGTTTATATTTGGATTTTGTTATTATTTTCCAATTTGCATTGCACTGAAATTTTAACCTTCTTTTAATTTATAAGTGCTTTTATTGAACACAGTGAACTTCCTATAATTTACTAATGTGTTTTCACTGGTATCTTTCCTTTTCTAAATGAGTTTATATCTTCAATTGATATGTCTAAATAAATAACCTTCTCTCCTAAAAATAAATATCTATTTAAATAGTTTTTATGTTTTTAAAAACAAATCACTTACAATTTTAACTAAAGGCAGAATAAAAAAAGCTTAAAAATCACTTCCCATTTTAAAACTGAAATACTTCAATAAATCCCTTAACTGCTATCCATCTATAGAAAACAAACTTAAATAAATTGCTTCTACCTTAAATGAAAAAAGTCACAAATAAATCATTTCTAATTTTAAAAAACAACCACAAAAAAAAAAAAAAAATGACCTAACGCTGAAGTAAATCTATCTTGAAATGATCAGATAAATCACTTCCTAACATAAAAGAAATGCTTAAGTAAATCACTTCCTATCTTGAAGATAAGAAATGCTTCAATATTTCTAGTTTAAAACAACAGAAATAAATCACTTTCTATCTTAAAAGTGTAGGTTCAATTCTGCACCAAGGCAGATTGTTAAAAAAAGAAGCCTAAAATCAGTACTAGGTAAAGTCCTGGGAAGAAAAGGTGGCTGGCAGGCATGATTACTCACCGAATGCAATTGATTTATAAAATGTAGGTCTAGCCCTATATGCCCAATACGCCTGCAGGTGTAGAAAAGATCCTTTACTTATACTTTCTTGAAACAAAAGAAATTATTAAATAAATCTCTTCCTATCTTGAAAAATAAAAGAAATGCTTCAATAAATCATTTCTTATCTTTAGGTCAGGACCACAGACTTCACCAACATCACAGATCTGCAACTGCTGACCCTCAATGACAATGAACTACACTTTCTGGAGGATGGTTCTTTGTCTCACCTGACCCAGCTAAGAGAGGTTTGTTTCGAACTATGTGTTTACCCCGCATGGCAGTGGCACTCAACCTCCCTAATGCCGCAACCCTTTAATACAGTTTTCTCATGTTGCGGCGACCCCCAAACAATTGTTCTCCTTCATAACTTTGATGAATGTGTGTTTTCACAATGGTCTTAGGCGACCCATGTGAAAGGGTCGTTTGACCTAAAAAATGGTCGCGACCCACAGGTTCAGAACCGCTGCTGTATGGGTTCAGGGCTAAATTTTGGAGAATAAAGAATGATCTACTGCCTTTGTAATGAGCAGGTCTCAGGACATGACTAATGAGGGGTATTTCCTTCAAACTTGGAGTGCATTTGCCTAAGAGGCAAGGAACCAACAGTCTGCGTACAAATAAACCAGATCTGTAAAGCTGATGTGCACATAAAACTCAACTTCTATACCAAGACCAAAGGCCAGGAGTGGATGAACAAGCAGAACTTTCTGTCACGGTTTATAGCCGGTGAACACTAACAGGCCTCCAGTAATTCTGCAGTTGTATCTCCCTTTAGTCACACTGTAGCTGTGCCTCTCTTTAGTCACACTGTAGTTGTGATTCCCTTCAGTCATGCTGTACTTGTAACTCCCTTCAGTTATACTGTAGTTGTGCCTCCCTTCAGTCATGCTGTACTTGTAACTCCCTTCAGTCATACTGTAGTTGTGCCTCCCTTCAGTCACACTGTAGTTGTGCCTACCTCCAGTAATTCTGCAGTTATATCTCCCTTTAGTCATACTGTAGCTGTGCCTCTCTTCAGTCACACTGTAGTTGTGCCTCCCTTCAGTCATGCTGTACTTGTAACTCCCTTCAGTCATACTGTACTTGTAACTCCCTTCAGTCATGCTGTACTTGTAACTCCCTTCAGTCATACTGTACTTGTAACTCCCTTCAGTCATGCTGTACTTGTAACTCCCTTCAGTCATACTGTAGATGTGCCTCTCTTCAGTCATACTGTAGTTGTGATTCCCTTCAGTCATGCTGTACTTGTAACTCCCTTCAGTCATACTGTAGTTGTGCCTCCCTCTAGTAATTCTGCAGTTGTATCTCCCTTTAGTCATACTGTAGCTGTGCCTCTCTTCAGTCACACTGTAGTTGTGCCTCCCTTCAGTCATGCTGTACTTGTAACTCCCTTCAGTCATACTGTACTTGTAACTCCCTTTAGTCATACTGTAGCTGTGCCTCTCTTCAGTCACAATGTAGTTGTGCCTCCCTTCAGTCATGCTGTACTTGTAACTCCCTTCAGTCATACTGTAGCTGTGCCTCTCTTTAGTCACACTGTAGTTGTGCCTCCCTTCAGTCATGCTGTACTTGTAACTCCCTTCAGTCATACTGTAGCTGTGCCTCTCTTCAGTCACAATGTAGTTGTGCCTCCATTCATTCATGCTGTACTTGTAACTCCCTTCAGTTACACTGTAGTTGTGCCTCCCTTCAGTCATGCTGTAGCTGTCTCCCCTCAGTCATTCTGTAGGTGTACCTCCCTTTAATCATACTGTAGTTGTACTTATGTTCAAGATATGATAACTGTTTCTGTTTCACCATATTCCTGATTATAAATTTTTACTTTCTAGTTCATTATCACTTATAAAAAGCAATATCGTTTTTTAACATCAAAGAAATAAATAATGCAATCTTAAATAGAAAATCTTGCACCAAAAAGCAACATTATCATATAAGATTTAAAATAAATGAAGATTATTGAATGCCTCAACAAGTAAGTTTCCAGTAAACATGAACATCACATCACTCACAGTCAACAGAACACAGCAGATGCAGAATTTGTGAGACACTTTTAAATAATAATTTTCCATGTCTTCCTCAGATCTGGCTAAGAAACAACAGCCTTGTGTACATCCCTCGTGGCATACCCAACAACGTTCGCAACGTCCACATGGACTCAAACAACATCCAGCAGATTGAACCTGGCATCTTTAGCAACATGTCCCATTTAGACTACCTCACGGTTGAAAGCAACCAAATCAACAGGATTCAGCCTAACACCTTCAGAGGACTACGCTTCCTGAACACCTTGAATTTTCAAGGCAACAGGATTCAAAATCTAGAGCCAGAGACTTTTGTGGACCTGGGTAGTTTGAGCACACTTCTGCTATCCAACAACCCAATGGTGAGGATTGAAACTAGTGCCTTTAAGAATCTCGGCAATTTAACACAACTGTTTCTTAGCTACATTGTGGAGGAAAATTTCCATTTGGCAGAAAATTTCTTTCCCCAAATGTTGAGACTGCAGACACTGCACCTTGTTAACAGTCCCGGACTTGTTAATGATCTGATGGATATGATCAATGATTCAGCGATCTTTGCCATCCCTCTAGAGCACATGCAGCAGCTGGATTTAAGCTACAACACGCTTGAATGGGTCAGCCCCAGGATCAGGGTAGTTTTCCCTAACCTCCTGTCTATGCCCCTAGATGGAAATCCTTTGCGATGCTCACGCAGTCTGAAATGGCTGAGGGACTGGATGGTGTCAAGTGAAGTCAATTTCAATAACTATAATGAAATTGTATGTGAAACCCCACTAAGGCTTAAGGATCGGGCAGTCAGAAGTATTGAGGATCATGAGTGGGAAAACGATGAGGCCAGTGAGGAAAGTGGAGAAGCAGCAGCTGGAAATCAACAACCAGCGGCACAAGACCAAGCTGGAAACACACGATCAGAGGCTGTTTCCAGTATTCAAACTAGAGTGAGAGCAGACAGGCAAGGTGTGGGTAAGAGGTCACATGTAGACGCAGACAATGGCAAAATTCAACGCAAGGGTAAAGGTAAGGGTCAAGGCAAGGGCAAAGGTAAAAAAGAAAATAAAGGCAGTAAGAAAAGCAAGAAAGGTAAAAGCACAGTGGAGAAAACCAAGAAAAAGGGAAAAGAGAAAAAGAATAGACAACAAGAAAGTCTAGCAACTGTGAATAATAAATTGTAAAGGACAATTTTTTCAGCAGATATTTGGAATGGAAATTTGAAGTGGTAATGCACCAAGCACAAACATGAATATAATCTTGTGTTCTCACCACATACTAACAAATCAGTCTTACATAAAGTTCATTATTGCTTTTGTCGATTCCAGAGTTGTAAGGGCACTTTTCGATCTCACTTATTATTAACTTTAGTACCAAGTGACTCATACTGGTAAATCCTCCAACATGCTTATATAAACTCCTCATGTCTCATTCAATTTATATATCATTTAACTCAATATTTACTTAATGCCTACTTTATTACATCCTACCCATCTTGGACAGAGTATTACTTAGTGTAACTGTTCAAAGTGCCCTAATTGTAACTTCCTAGGAGGCTGAACTGGGTATCTAGGATTTGTCCTTTAGGCTGCCATCCAGAATGCAACCCTCTGAGTTGCAGGGCTGACCACACCTTCAGGTAGCAGCCCAGAGAGTTAAAACAGCAAGTCAAGCAGTTACTTCACTTGCCCTGCCCATTTGATAAGCTCATCCTAGTACCAACTACTATAGACAGCTCCAAAAAAGAAATACAATGGACACAGAACAAGGGGAATACCACGCAGAATATGGAATGATGGCATTAGGAAATGCCTTTGAAGAACCAAAGATCAACTTAAACAACACATAAGACAGAGCATACAGAAAATCCTTACAACTCACGCAAATATTTCAATGAGGTAACTGAAGGAAGAGAAGAAGAAGAATGCAAATTACACTATTTAAAAGAATTGTCCATGACACTGGACTACACCCTGGGATCAGTGAGACGACAGAAGAAGAAGAAGAACAGTATTTGGTGGGTGATGTCGTTAGATCATGCTGACCGCCTTTATTCACAGGACTGCACCTGATACTGTGCTAGACTAAGCAATAAATAATGCATTACTGTGCTAAACTGAACAATAACTAATGTAGTAGTGTATAGTGTGCTGAACTCAAACAACTAGTGTAGTTCTTCAGTACACTGTCAAACCACTAATCTAGCTGAACTTAATTAACTCAACGAGGTTGCAGATGAGATATATGCATTTACCAACTGGCCTCAGTAACCATTTAAAGAAAAACTACATGAATTCCCAGGAATTTTCACACACAAATATCTTTAAAAAAAACAGGGCAACAAATAAAAATAATTAAAACTATTAATTCTTTTAAGAAATACACGAGGGGGAGTAATCAATAAGCAGAAACAGAGTGGAGAATGAAACAATTTCTTTCCCTTGGGCTTTAAAATAAATTACGCTGTGACCACTGACCTTGACTACAAAAGGCTAAAGATAAATTATGATGTCATCATGGCTAAAACATATTTTTCACAATTAACCCCCAGCCCCCTTCTTCCCCCAAACCGCCCCTCCCCCATACTATTTTTTTGGGGTAAATATAATCATATCCAGGGCCCCTAAACAGAACCAATGTCATTAACTAGGATTTTTAGGGACTGGTCAATGCAGCAATGCTGGTGTAGCAGCTTCTTGATGAGGAGTAGCAGACGGCAATGCTAGATTTGGAGCTTTACAGGGCCAGAGGGTGGAGTTAAAGTAACAATGATAACCACAACTGTACATATATAAAACACTATTTATTTAATGTAATATATTTAATGCAATATTCTGTGTTGAGTGTAATATATTCTGTAATGATTATAAGCCAATTACTGTGTTCTTTTTAAAATAAAGAGAGACTATATAATTAAGCAGAGTGGTTAACTCCTTGGTCTCAGTAAGACTGGAACAAATTCAACAGTATTTATTATGTTCAGCATCATCGCAAATGGCAAATATGTTGGTTCTTAACACAAAGCAAAGGAAAACAATCATATAATCAGATGACAATTGGCATATTAGTAATGGAACTTTTGTGCTGGATGCTATAGATTAGGATGAAATGTTAACAAAAATGCTGTCATGTCAGTTCTTAATTATTCACAACTGGTAAAGAGCGACAAGTGTAATGGTTTGGCCATCTGACAAGAACGCCCTGGTATCAACTGCCAAAGATAGCCACACCGAAGAAATATAATGGCCACAGAGCAAAGGGAAGACCACGTAGAAGATGAAAGGATGATGCCTAAAGCAACCGTAATGAAATGAAGACCAATTTACGCAGCACACTATGAAGAAGCAGGCAAGAAATCCTCACATCCCCACCACCCTATTCCTCCATTAAAGCAGAAGAAAAAGAGAATTAGATGAAGAAGAAAATGAAAAAGTATAGGAAAAGAAAAAAAAAAGAAGAAGATGAATTAGAAAAAAAAAGAAGAAGAAATTTAAAAAAAAAAAACTAAGACGAACATTGTTTCAGCACTCAGGAGTTAACAAACGGTGTCAATGGGGAAACTATAAATGTGTTCAATTGTCAAATATCATAACATCTTCTTTTTCTACTTCTTCTTTTACATTCACCCTTAGAAAGGTAGCTGGCATGATGTATCAATCACATTACGCAAGTCAAAATTTTAGCTAATTACTGTACTGTAAATGCTATTTCCACAGTAAAAGAACTATCTTCACTGCATGTATCTACCGCACTGGGCTGGGGGGGAGAGACGGATAGGTTGGGGATGGGGGGGGGGGGGGTTTAAGGATAGGTTGGTCAAGGCAGGACTATTCAACAAACTGTAATCAATGACCACATGCTGAAAATAGGGATCATCATGAAGCAGAGCCCCAAGCCAAGCCCCAGAAAGATCATCAACAGAATACAACTGGCCACTTTCTAGACCTCGGCGGGCCAGATCTAGCCACCATGAATAGGTGGGGATTGCTATTTTTGCCCCAACCGGAAAAAGGCTTCATCACATTATACAGAGAATTTGAACCAGCCTCTCCTATATCTAACCATTTGATCACACTCCCCACTTCTATTTTAGCACAAAAAAATAACCATGACATCTAAAGATACTTGTAAAAATCAGCAAAGTTAAAGTTTTGAGGTTCAAGTTAAGTCATGAGGATCAATGTACTGCCCCCGTGTTTGATCTCATATGGCTCTATCTCTCATCACAAAATGGGTAACCACCTGCCAAGAATGTCGCACAAAGCATGAACTCTAAAGCTCCAGCGTATAGCTCCAGCGACAGTTCCCAGGAATATGTAAAAATAGCACTCATGAACTGCACAACACATCTTATAAATTTCTTCTTCTACTTCTTCTTCTTATTCACCAGCTGTGAGTTCCGGCAGAAAGTCCTGGTTGTTCGTCCATTTAGCTTTTTGGCTTTTACTTGGACCTGAGTTTTGCGTGTACATCCGTTTTACTGGCTTATTTGTGTGCAGTTCTCGTTCCTGTACTCCGACTTCGTGGGAAATCTGATAGAAAAATCCATGACTTTTACAGCTCAACTGACGCATAATGAGCCAGATGTTGTAAGGGGGTTTTGGCAGTGAGTCCTGCCATTTATTCGCAGATGACTGTGCCATCTATGAAATACTAAAACATGTAGTGTACTAGAGTCGTCATTACAACAAAAACTAACCAATGTAGCCAAATTGGAGAAGTGCAAACCGTATGCAAATAAACATTAATAAAACACACAAAAATCTACGCTAATAACAACGAGACAAAAACTGTAGTCGAAATTCACAGAGAATGCTTCAACTCTACATTGGGAGGACTCAAGTGGAAAAAGTGTATCTGAGCATAAAGCACTGGGGTTGATCACTGATGCAAATCTAACCTTCAACTCACATGTACAAGCACTTGTGAAGTAAACAGCTAAAATGGTTTACCAGCTTGAAAAAATTAAAAACTTTCTTGATGAAAACAGGAGAAAGATATTCTATACTTCTCACATCCAGACTTTTGCTCTACATTATGGGATGGCTGTTCCAATTCTGTTACCAAGAGGCTCATGTCACTGCAAAAGCGCACCATTTGCTTAATAACTAATAATCATGGGACAGTGTTCCGTAACATATAAAGGTCTTAGGCTACTACCGCTTCGTGAACGTCTACTTTTCAAATAAGGCAAAATTTATTCACAAAATATTATCTCAAAAGGCTCCATGTTACTTACGGCCGTTGTTTAAATATAATGGAAGGCACAGTAAACGCCTAAACATATTACACATCCCTAAACTAGGATAGACCTATACAAAAAAGTTTGGCGTACTCCGCAGCTCAGCTGTGGAACTGTCTTCCACTACAAGTCAAAAATACCACAAGTCTCTGTACATTCAATCAAAAACTGTTAGAATATTATCTGAGCACAGATTAAATGCCCCCATAGAAGAGAAAAAGAAAAATATTTTCGAAATAGCGCTCATTTTCCCTAGATTTATTACAACCACTACGGTTTATTGTAGTTAGAAATGTAGACATTCCAGTGCCTGTACTGAATATTTTGATGCTATTGATAATGTTTATTACTTAATGTGGGAATGAAATGATGTAGGAATGGAGGGAGACCTCGAAGGGCAGAATGTTAGACGGGTCTGCGTGCCCAATTGTTAATCCTTTAAAAATAAAGTTTGTTTGTTCGTTCGTTCATTTGAGTAAACAGTATGGAGGCAAAAATAGGTCATCACAGTCTGAAAAGAACGGTGCAGCGAGGAGTGAACAGGAGATCTGGCCGACATTCAACATTTAGTGGAGGAGCGAGACCGATATACAATCTGACTGTTACTGGTACCATCAGAACTTGAACTCTACACTTGCTGCTGAAGATACGGACAGAATGCTTATGGGAATTTCCTAAGTGCTACGATGTTGGTTGCTAATTCATAACCTGAAAAAAGAATTACACGCACGTGCGCGCATGCACGCACGCACACACACACACACACACACAAAACGTCATGCTCCTTTCCCCAAAATTGCAGCATTAGTCATTAGATGTTCCAACTTCATTCCAAATGAGTCACTCTGTAACAAATGGGTCACTATGTAACAAATGGGTCACTCTGTAACAAATGGGTCACTCTGTAACAGATCGGTTTCTGTGCCAGTGAAAATCACAAAGATGTCCTTCACCGACTCATTTGAAAACTAATGGAAAAACTTCTTAACCCTAGCAAAATCTTGAAGCTTCCGTGGGCACAATAAACGCATAAGGCTGCCATCAGATGTGCCAACTCTAACAGCCTCTTAACAGAATTTCAGCTCACTGCTGATGCAAGCAGTCAATCATGAAGGCTGGCATGTGCACACGCAATACTGCATAAATACAGGCCTAATTCAAACATAATCAGCCGTCTGCTATATTTGTGCAGTTCCAACCATAAAATCACCACAGACCCAACAACAAAGTGCAATGTATATGTGTTAATACTGAGATGTGCCATCATTAAAATGTGAGACAGGAATGGGTGAGAGACGGTGTGCAAGACTGCTAAGAGCAACAGATGTTCACATAAATAACTAGTGCAACGTTAAGATTTTATCAGAGAGGTGACAAGTGTGAGAAGTGTTACCTGAAGTTGGCATGTTCAAAATTACATCAGACAAAGTACTGGTTTGAGAAATGTCACCTTGATTTTCTTTTTCATCTTCTTCCCCTCATCCTCCAATGAATACAGGCTCCCAACAAACTCTCGCCAAGTTGTCATATCCTCTGCTACTGTATGCAGCGCACCCTATGTCCTCACTATCTTTTTAACTTCACTCTCTAGCTTCCCTCCTTTGTTTTTTGGTGTGCTTTTATTTCTATGCCCCTTAGGTTCCAGTTATTTTGTTCTCAGGTTTTCTCAATGTGTTTCCTATCCGGTGCCTGTGTTTTTTCTTCACTTCTTGATTCACTGGAATTTGTTCTCTCACAAATCTCAACATCATTGATTCTATGAAACCATTCAATTCTACCTATTCTATGAAAGCACCAGTGTCTTTATGTAGTTTGCCAGTAACTGTTTTAGCTGCTCTCTGTCTGTTCAACACACCAGTCCTGATTTGACTTCAGAGTTAACTATTATAAGTTTAGTATTAGTTTTAGTTTTCTTTGACCTCCACAACCTGGGTGCTGATGGCGCAAAGGTGTTGGACATGGAACTCTTTGTGCTGGCAAGGGGGAGAGGGGCTACATTATACAAAAAAGGTATAACTCACTTCAGACTGTTAGTTGTGGTGAGATGTTAAACAGACTGAAAGTGATGCAAACTGAAAAAACAGACGATTGAGAGTGAGATAGACAGAGTGAAGAAGACTGACAAGACAGACAAAATCAAAGTGAAGCAGACAAAGTGAGACAGGCTGATAGTGACAATGACAGAGTGAGGCAGGCTGTGAGTGAGACAGGCTGAGAAGCCAGACAAAATAAGAAATTAGACACACTGATTAGTGCACAGTACTAGAAGTGAGACAGATTGAGAAGTGAAACAGACAGAAGTCAGTCATACCCAGAAGTGAAACAGACAGAAGTCAGTCATACCCAGAAGTGAAACAGACAGAAGTCAGTCATACCCAGAAGTGAAACAGACAGAAGTCAGTCATACCCAGAAGTGAAACAGACAGAAGTCAGTCATACCCAGAAGTGAAACAGACAGAAGTCAGTCATACCCAGAAGTGAAAGAGACAGAAGTCAGTCATACTCAGAAGTGAAACAGACAGAAGTCAGTCATACCCAGAAGTGAAAGAGACAGAAGTCAGTCATACCCAGAAGTGAAACAGACAGAAGTCAGTCATACCCAGAAGTAAAACAGACAGAAGTCAGTCATACCCAGAAGTGAAAGAGACAGAAGTCAGTCATACTCAGAAGTGAAACAGACAGAAGTCAGTCATACCCAGAAGTGAAAGAGACAGAAGTCAGTCATACCCAGAAGTGAAACAGACAGAAGTCAGTCATACCCAGAAGTAAAACAGACAGAAGTCAGTCATACCCAGAAGTGAAACAGACAGAGAATTGAGAAGACAGAGAACCAATTCATTTCTAGAAGTGAGACAAGACTGAGAAATGAGTCATTTCAAGAAATTAGAGAAACTGAAAACTAAGTTATACCCAGAAGTGAGACAGACTAAAAAGAAAGTTATATAATGAGAAGTGAAACAGACCAAAAAAATGAGAAAGGCCAGTAGCCATAATGTAGATTCAAACCACAAACTTCACGTCGGTATCCAAGTGTCTAGACAATAAAGAAATGTCTCACAATATTTTTTCCTCAAATTAAAAAGACAAGAAGTACCTCTAAATTAAATAGAAAAAAAGCCTGTCGGCATCGATTTTGCTTATAAAATACAAAAAGTAACGTAAAAGGTCAGTTTACAATCTAAAATGATCAAGTAACAAGCTGATTCACAGTTTTAAATAAAAAAATCATTACATATTAGGTCGATTTGCAAATGGAGGAACTGTGACAGACATATGGAAGGGGAACTGTGACATGGGAGAGGTATATTGTATGTTGGTAAAGGAGAGGTTTGCATTTGCGAGTTTCTTCATGCTCAAATTCCGAATTGCAAACTCACTCTGTTAACTTTCTGCTGCAACTCAAGTTTCTACAAACACAAGAAGACATTGTTAACTTTTTTATACAAAAACAAGAACTCGTGAGGGTTGCACAGTATTAGTCAGATATGACTGAACTTAAGTTTAACAGTAGTTGGTTGCTATCGCACATATTATCACTGAATGTTGAGTGGCATTTAAAAAACTTGACATTCCACCTGTGCCATCCACTTCTGGTGGAAGAGCACATTGGGAAAACAGGTAGAAACCTGGCAAATCGCTTTTGTTAAAATCTTGTGGACATTCATAATTCGGCTCTTAATCTTAAACCTGTCTCCCTCCATTTGAACAGTTCTGATCACCAAGGTGAAAGCAATATCTCAGTTGCTGCCATTAAATCTTGCTAAGGTCGTCAAACCAGCCACTATTCCTTAGAAAATAGTTTAATTCATAATTTTTGTTATCTCAGTTCTGGAGGGATCAATACTCAACACAGTTTTATTTAATTTTATTTATTGTTGTTAACTTGTTCATATTTATCCTCCTCTTTCTTTCATACGACTTCTTACTAACATCGTTTCATTTTTGAGCCCTTCATATTCATATTTTCCCCCATTACGTACTTCTTGGTTTCATGCTTATCTTGTTTCTTTTAGAAACTATATTGTCTTAACCACTGAGTTGTCCAGTCACAGTCTGTGTTGTATTTAGAACTCTGTTGACAAGGACTTTGGTCGATATGTTCTGTTGTGGTGTTTATGTGTGTCTTTTCTATCCCTCTGTTGAACTTTCTAGTCACATTTTATCTTTCATTTAGGTATTTAGCAGTTCTTGTCATTAGCTCCAATGCAGTCCCCCCCCCCCCCTTTTTACGTCATCACTTGGGGGAACACCAGCCTTATTTTTATATTTATATTTTGAAAACTTCCGGCCAAAATGGACGTTAGGCAGCGGCACTGTTCGAAACAGAGGCAAATTTTTTTGCTTCTGTCGGAGGGTGGCTGATGCATTTTTGTTCCATTTGTAGAATGGATATAGTTTCGTCGCCCAGCTTCTGAGTTGAATACATGGCGTGACCCTGTGAACTGCGGATTGCATTTGGAATGTTTTTTCGACTGTGACCAACGTGTTGGTGTGAATTGTACATTCAGAAAATGGCGCGATGCCTGTCGTGCAGTGTTGTGGTGCCCGTATGTGATTAAAATTGATCGCGTGGGCAACTGCTGATCTGTTGGCGACTTCTGCTACCATCAATGATGAACTGCAATTCTAATACTGTGATAAACATTCTGTCTGTTTTTCGTTGGCACAGGAGTGGAGCAAAGATGGGGTGACCCGTTTGCTATGAAGCTGAAATTAAGACTACTAGACTACCAGACCAGACCAGACTTATTTTACAATGAGGAAATGCAGTTTGAAAACATAATGTTATAGCCTTTAGCCCCAGCTGGCAGCTAGTCAAGGAAGGAAGCTCTGACAGGCAAACAGAGCACTGCCCTTCTGATCTGACAGCTTCTGTATCATAATACGTATTGGTGTTACTTCTCATACACAAGCAAGACTGTCCATAAGCGCAGTAGTTTACTGGTTACTTGCAGTTAAAGAAATTAGGAAAATACATGCAGATCTTTAGGTATTTAAAAAAAAAGTGTCCATTTTAAGACAATAAAGGGTAATTATTTAAGCATTAAAAAACAAAATGAGCAGAAGCAAAGTAGGAATAGAACAGAAAGGGGAAACAGAAAGAGATGGTGAGAAGGGAGAGAGAGAATGATATAGAGAGTGAGGAAGAGAAAGGGGTTGAGTGACAGAAAGAAATGGGGAAGTGGAAAGGACACACTGTAATACGTAGACAGATAGAGAACAAATTGAGATAGAAAGAGGCAGTAAACAAAGAGAAAGAGACAGAGAGAGAGACAGAGAGACAGAGAGAGAGAGAGAGAGAGAGAGAGAGAGAGAGAGAGAGAGAGAGAGAGAGAGAGAGAGAGAGAGAGAGAGAGAGAGAGAGAGAGAGAGAGAGATAGGGTGGGCCAGTAGGCAGTTGGGCATGCTGGCAGACTACATGATCAGAGAGGCAGACGGAGCAATAAAGCAGTGAGACACAAGTGAGGAAGAGATAGAGGTAGGGAGAGAGATTCCCTGTGTATGTTCTCTGGTCCATTGGGAACAAGCATATCATAAATGGTGACTAGTTAGGTTTCCTGAAATCAGATGTATTGAGCCAAAGAAGTGCAAACATCACAGCCCAGCTGTAAACTACAACACAACGTGTATGGTGCCATTTTCAGGGCAAATGCAGAAGAAGGGAGAGACACTGAAGGAGAGAACATACAGACAACAAACATTTATTACTAGGCTTCCTACCTTCTTCTGTACCAGCGTGTGCCTTTCCTCCATCTCCTTCATCTCAATTTTAGCTTTGGAGCTGAGCTCTTCAACCTGTAAAAAGATTACATGTTACTCCTTCAAACTGAGTTTAGTCACCAACCGATATCACAACTAGGGCTGTACCGAATATTCGCTTCGGGGCCGAATAGTGGACCCAATAACTATTCGGTAATCGGCCGAATAGTTGCGGTCGGGCCGAATACGAATAGTGGTTACCTCACAACCGTTTCTGGACTGGTGGAAAAACAACATCAAGACTTCCCACCTTGGTTTATACTGTGAAGCGTTATCTTTGTGCACCACAATGATGATGATAGTGTTGTCGGCTTTATTTCTTTGAGTGGAGTGTCCTCTTCATTGATTCTTTGAAGTAACGGGAGTTCGTCATCATTTATGGGTGTCATATCTGTTCTTTCGTCGTCTCGTGGAAACGGCAGCGGCTAAATGTTTTGATCGACGTTCGGTTTCTTGATTGTCTTTGTTGTTTGATCTTCTGGCGTTGGCCGCCCGGCGTCTGGTTTCGTGAGCTCGCGGGGGGCTGGGCGGCATTGTTTTCTTTGTCGGCAATATTTTTGTTTTTGATGTTTCGCCTTGCGGGTTTTCATTTTGACTCTCTGTATTTGTCGTATTTTCCTGTTTAGTACAGCTGGAAATACCTTCAGTGAGACAAAAAGCTGGCCTAATGCTGACAACATGGAACGAAGATTTTTCATGGAGGTGTGTCAGCACACGAACTAATACGTGCTGCAGGAGATCGCAGATTGTGGCGAGACATAATCGCCCATGCCAGCCGGCAAAGCACATGATGATGATGATTCACTATTCGTATTCGTATTCCTTGACATTTCCTGGTACCCATTTTAGGCCAGGTTAACCTGGAAGCCCTAGGTCAATCATAGGAATCCACCCTAATGCAGATTCTTCTTCTTCTTAACGTTCCCCAGCTGCTACTCTAGCAGACAATTCTTGGTGTTTGTCCACCTCTGGATTTTAATCTTATTTCAGAACCTGAGTGTTAAATGTAAATCTGTTTCAGAGATCTGGCTTATATGTATAGACTCTTGGTTCCTTGCTTCTCTGGCAGATACATATTTGTTGGGGAGGCAGTGAGTCTGTTCTTGTTTTTCCCTCAACGGGGCCCTGGAATCCACATTAGGGCCAATGCAGATTCAAACTTAAGACCGTCACATCAGCAAGAAAGTGTCCAGTCACTGTGCTCCTGGTTAAAGATTAAAGTTGAGAGGATCTATTTCACTGCACCGGATTTTATCCTATATAGCTCAGTGTGTCTCCAAAAAACGGCTAGCCATCTGCCAAGCACTGCACAAAGCATGAACTCTGTAGCTCTAACATCAATCCCAGGGATCTGCAATAAAATTGCACCCATGAATTCAACGGTGGTGCACATGAAGGTTTTGGGTGCAAATCCGAACGGAGTCGGAGATTTTTTTTTCTCCAAAGCTTACCTTGGCTCCCCAGGTTGACGCACCTTTAAATGGGCATCAGGTGGAGTCCTGGGAAGTAAAGGTTGCCGGTGTAATGACCACATCATTTACTAAGTGCCGATTATTCTATAAAATTTTGGTCTAGCATTATATGCCCAAATACGCCTTAGGATATGGGTAAGAGTCCTTTCCCTTTATTTTACTGTACTACCACAGCTCTCTCATTCTTTGAATGCTCAATACAAATTGGACAAACTGGCAAAAAAAAAAAAAAAAAACTTACCTGTCCAGCTATTTCTTTCATGTAAGTAGTTTCCAGATCTTGAAAAAGGTCATGACCTTGGTGAAAAAATGTGCTTTGTGCGTGCATGAAAGACAACATCTGTGGGGGAGACATTACAGAGCAAATGTTTTTTGAAAGATAAAAGTACTTTCACAATTTTACACAGGTCACTAATAAATAGGTAATAAATTCACTTCACAGGTCACTAATAAATTCACTTATTGAAATTTCTTGGGGAAAAAAATCAAAATATATGAACGAAGTAATCACTAAATAGGAACAATGTGAAGCATTAATTAGAATACCTTCCCAGGAGCCTTACAATAAAATATGCATTGGGTGACACCTAGGCCTCTATCACTGAGACTTACAGGCAAAATCTGACGTCAATTTGGCTCAAGGGAACACACCTAAATGCTATTTTTTTTTTATAGTGAAAAGAGTCAGTAGTATTATTTATGTGCCTCATTAACAGATAAGTCAGAAAAGTGGCATTTAGGGAGATTGGGGATTGGACTCAACTGGAAGAGATGGTTTTGAAGCTTCTAACAGCGAAAGGGTTAAGAGAAATCTCACAGCACAAAGCCTGGGCACTATTGTGAAGACCCTATACAGTGAAGACCATGAAGCATGACCTCTCTTTTGGCCTGCTTTGTTAACTCAAAAGAAAGGATAATAAAAATACATTTGGGAGAAAGCATGCTACAGAAGCTGCCATGTCAGAAAGGCAGTGCTCTGTCTGTCTGTCACAGCTTCCCTTCTAGACAACTTGCCACAAAAAGGCTAAGAGCCTGGTCTGCCCCGCCATAAGATTACTTTTTCAGGCTATTTTACTGATGACAGATAATATATTCATGATACTTATTTTACTGAACACTGGCAAATAACTGATAGCCACCTTTCATGTGCACAAATAGTATAATTAAACATCCACCTGTTATTCTTGTTCTTTTCAGAGGTTAGTTTCTCCACTAATTTCATTAATTGGAATTTAAGAATAAATTTATTCTAAAAATTAATTATACAAATTATTAGACGCAGAGGGGAAGAAAGTGGACAGGGCAAGAAAGAAAGTCTTTTTTTTTTAAAACTTACTGTATCAAGAATATCAAATCTTTTCTTTGAGTTGAGCACGTTTATCTGTTGAGAGATTTAAAAAAAAATATCAGTAAGATAAAGAAAATATATAAGCGAAAGAACATTAAAGGAGCATCTCTCTCACTCTCTCTCTCTCTCTCTCTCTCTCAAACACACACACACAAACTCACATACAATTAAAATGCTTAATTTCTTTATCTTGCTAAGATAAGAAGAAACATTTATCAGAGAAAGAACATTTACATAAGAACTATATGCATGTACATATACAAGCCCCCTTTGAATTTTCGGACTTCTTTATGAAAATGGAAACACCAAGAGAAGAAGATGAATTAAAGAAGTTACTGACAGCCAAAGACTACACAATGTATCAGCCTACCAAACAACCGAGCACACCCTGGCTCAGCTACTTAACACACAGCAGCACAAAACTAAGTGACAATTCCAACCAAAATGGCCAACAGCCAGCTGATGCTCTGAAAAGTTATTGGTTTCCAGCTAGGTTCTGATGACAATTCCCCAATTCTAGACCAGGACCCAAAGGTGTTGTCACCCAGTTCCTCAGCCGAGTGGTTGGTGAGATCTGTTAGCTGTGAATTTCATGTGGAATGCATTTGTTTTGGTTGTGCCCACAGCGCGTTATGGCGAGTGGCCGATTCGGTCAGAATGATGGGTATGTTTGCGGGTGCAATGCCAGATTTCCTGCTTGCCCATTAGCACCAATAGTGAGATGCAGTTCTGGTGTGGGACCATTGGTGTTGACACATTTGAAAACTGCCTTATGACTCTACCCCTTGTATTTTCATCCCAGTATAATGTGCTTTCTTACTTCTAACATCTGGTCACAGCATTTGTAAGTAATTTGGCTTTTCCAATGGTCACTACTAGATGTATACTGCCACTTCAAATGTAATGCATTAATGATTTTTTTCTCATGATTATTTCTTCATTTTAGCCTCTTCTGCGAGACTTAGTGTCGAAAGTGTGAATGACAGGACAAAACACCCAGCCTTAAAACAGGAACTAGCTCAAGCCCTAAAAACTCTAGCTAAAGCCCTAGAAACTCTAGCTCAAGCCCTGGAAACTCTAGCTCAAGCCCTAGAAACTAAAGACAGTCAGTAAAAAGTGGATCACATCATCCATTTAGTGCATGCATACGTGTGGGGGGAGGGGTGTAAGGACCTCCTATGTGTGTTTGTTTTATCCTAATGCACAGAATATGTCAATCTTCATTTCTTTGAGACTTTCTTGATGCTGCCATTTTATCTTTTGTGTGGTCTTCTTCTTGCTCTGTGTTGATTGTATTTCTCCAGTTTGGCTCTCTCTGGCAGTTGGTACAGCAGAGCATTCCCACCAGATGGCCAAACCATCTCATTTCTTGTTCTTTAATAAATAATTGTGCAACTGGTTTCCATTTTATTCTTATTTTTATTTCCTCTTTACCTTTCCTTTCCTTACAACACAAAACACACAATGCTGGACATACTTGAAAGACATAATCTAGAGACGTATGCGCGAAGCATGAACGGGTTGCAGTCAGAGTATTATGCGCCTCCTCACACTCTTGAATTTTTGACTTTGGGGCCTGAGAGTTTCGATTCAAGGCTGTATCCATGTCATCGCTGATTTTCTCAAACAGTTTCTTGGTCTCCTTCACCTTCTTGATATCACTTAAACAAACAAAAAGCAGACATGATTACACTCATTAGTAATTGGTTATTTCCCATGTGTGTTCTAGGTCCCACTTTGGAGAGAAAACAACAGATCCACTGATCCTTAACTATTTCTGTCCTAGACCTGTGTTTCTTTAACTCCTATCTTCCTAAGTAGGAGGGGCATTTAATAAGTAATGCATCACATCCTTTTTCTGAGTTAATAATGAAGACAGAAGCAGGAAATTGTGCACGCTACAAATATGGCATGTGCCAATTGTGTGTACCAAATTCCATCACAACCGGTCAAACAATGCGGCTGCTCTAAACTGCTGAAATGGAACATGCATTAAAAGAGGCGAACTGTGACAGAACTTATCACTGCAGAGAAGGCAACTGTTGTGAACATTCACAAGCTTTTATGTGATATGTATGGATGTTCTGCAATCATCATGAGTACAGTCATCTTTTCTGCAGGCCATGCCGGTGTGGTGGGTAATGAACAGGCAGACAGATTAGCTGGATCCGCACCACTGGGTGGTGAACTGATACATGACAAGGCAGATGTGGTCAAGGCCCTTTGGGAACAAGCAACGGAATCAGTAGAGAAAGAAGATTATTATGGTCTCGAGAGAATGAGGCACCTAGGTGTAACCAGAGGGTCTGGCTGGCTCACTACACTCAGAGGAAAGGCAAGGAGGACTTTTAACTAGATTGTGACCAGTACCATCAGTACTGGAACTTTGTGTTGACTCAACTCAACTCATGAGTACAGTCAATTACTGAGTTAAAAGAATGAAAGAATCTGGAAGTGGAGATGCAAAGCTTCTTGGTCATCCATGCTGTCAATGTCCTGCCACGGCCACCACCAACACAGAAATGTTGAAATGTGCTGATAGTATTATACTTACTGTCTGACATTTCACTACTAAACAATTGCCCTTACAGCTGGCAGTAGACATTTCACTACTAAACAATTGCCCATACAGCTGTCAGTAGACATTTCACTACTAAACAATTGCCCATCCAGCTGTCAGTAGACATTTCACTACTAAACAATTGCCCATACAGCAGTCAGTAGACATTTCACTACTAAACAATTGCCCTTACAGCGGTCAGTAGACATTTCACTACTAAACAATTGCCCTTACAGCTGGCAGTAGACATTTCACTACTAAACAATTGCCCATACAGCTGTCAGTAGAAATTTCACTACTAAACAATTTCCCATACAGCTGTCAGTAGACATTTCACTACTAAACAAATGCCCATACAGCAGTCAGTAGACATTTCACTACTAAACAATTTCCCATACAGCAGTCAGTAGACATTTCACTACTAAACAATTTCCCATACAGCTGTCAGTAGACATTTCACTACTAAACAATTGCCCATACAGCAGTCAGTAGACATTTCACTACTAAACAATTGCCCATACAGCAGTCAGTAGACATTTCACTACTAAACAATTGCCCATACAGCAGTCAGTAGACATTTCACTACTAAACAATTTCCCATACAGCTGGCAGTAGACATTTCACTACTAAACAATTGCCCATCCAGCTGTCAGTAGACATTTCACTACTAAACAATTGCCCATACAGCAGTCAGTAGACATTTCACTATTAAACAATTGCCCCTTCAGCAGTCAGTAGACATTTCACTACTAAACAATTGCCCATACAGCAGTCAGTAGACATTTCACTACTAAACAATTTCCCATACAGCTGTCAGTAGACATTTCACTACTAAACAATTGCCCATACAGCATTCAGTAGACATTTCACTACTAAACAATTGCCCATACAGCAGTCAGTAGACATTTCACTACTAAACAATTTCCCATACAGCTGGCAGTAGACATTTCACTACTAAACAATTGCCCATCCAGCTGTCAGTAGACATTTCACTACTAAACAATTGCCCATACAGCAGTCAGTAGACATTTCACTACTAAACAATTGCCCTTACAGCGGTCAGTAGACATTTCACTACTAAACAATTGCCCTTACAGCTGGCAGTAGACGTTTCACTACTAAACAATTGCCCATACAGCTGTCAGTAGACATTTCACTACTAAACAATTTCCCATACAGCTGTCAGTAGACATTTCACTACTAAACAATTGCCCATACAGCAGTCAGTAGACATTTCACTACTAAACAATTTCCCATACAGCTGTCAGTAGACATTTCACTACTAAACAATTGCCCATACAGCGGTCAGTAGACATTTCACTATTAAACAATTGCCCCTTCAGCAGTCAGTAGACATTTCACTACTAAACAATTTCCCATACAGCTGTCAGTAGACATTTCACTACTAAACAATTGCCCATACAGCTGTCAGTAGACATTTCACTACTAAACAATTGCCCATACAGCAGTCAGTAGACATTTCACTACTAAACAATTGCCCTTACAGCGGTCAGTAGACATTTCACTACTAAACAATTGCCCTTACAGCTGGCAGTAGACATTTCACTACTAAACAATTGCCCATACAGCTGGCAGTAGACATTTCACTACTAAACAATTGCCCATACAGCTGGCAGTAGACATTTCACTACTAAACAATTGCCCATACAGCTGTCAGTAGACATTTCACTACTAAACAATTGCCCATACAGCTGTCAGTAGACATTTCACTACTAAACAATTGCCCATACAGCTGTCAGTCAGCAATAGTAGTACAAATGGAATTTAAAAAATGCTCAGCTTTTCTACGGTTAGTGCAAAAAGCTGTGCCTCAAAGTTTCCCCCAAAAAACATTGATTGTAAAGGAAAGCAATTTCTTCTGAACTGTTGGAGCATTTCAATGCTGATGGAGGGAACTATTTAGCTAAGATCATTACATGTGGCAAAACCTGTGCACATCATTTTCAATAATACAGTCAATGAAGTGGCATCACCAAGAAGTCAGAAATGCAAGACAATTCCTAAGCTGGAATGGTCATGATCACTGCCTTTTGGGACAGGAAAGGTGTGATTCTTGTGGACGTTATGCCAAGAGAATAGACAATCTTCGCAAGCTCCCATTAAGACATTGAAAAAAAACTAAGTATTTTGGCAGATTCTGGCCACACCAGAATCTAGCAGACCTGCTTCTCCTTCACAACAATGCGCACCCTCACAAAAGTCTGGGAACATGGCAAGCAATCAAACTGGGTTCCTTTGTACCATCCACATCCACATAGTCCTGATTTGGTACCCTCTGACTTCAATCATTTGGTGCACTTGGTGGACAAGGTTTGGAGATGATGAAGGTGTGATTCATGCAGTGAAGAAACAGCTACACAGTCTGGTGCGGGCTAGAAACACAAGCATCTGTTTCGCACTGGCATAAAGCCATACAAGTTGATGGGGATTGTGCTGAATAACACCAATGTTTACATGACATATTCATTTATTTTGTATATAAATTTCATTCTTTTTTTTTTTAAAATAAACAGCTTCTGAGAATAACGAACTATGCCACTGTTTTATAACCTGTCTAAATACACACAACATGCTTATACAAATCAATAAGCTTTATACAACAAAAAATGACAAATATTACTTACTTTTTTATTAGAGAGTTCAGATTCTTGCAGACAGATCTGTGAGCTTGGTCCATTAAAATCTGGAGAAAAAAAAAACTTAATGTAAGAAATACAATTTAGAGAAGTGGAAACAAGCAGCCAATAAGAATTGGCAACCAAGTCAGAGTATGTCAAAACATCATTCTCAATATTCTGTTGTGCTGTTATGTGTCACACAGTGCTCACAGTTTATTTTTCCAATCCATTCCATGCTGTGCAACTGTTTTAATATGTATCTAATCCACTGCATCCTATTCCCATAAATCCACCTCAATTTCTGTATCCTTCATGTCCCTTTTATTTATAATATTATATCTTTATATCATAGTAGAGGCTGACCCCGATATGTTCTATCTATCTGTAATCCCCCATGTGTTGGTAACAATTTGCTTTCTATCACCTGTAGCTTCCTTTGAAGTTGGAGTGAATCTAGTGAGTGAGTGAATTTAGGGAGAGGCCAGAAACTTGCAGTCTGCACTTTGCAGACATCTTTGGAAGATGTGAATATACAAACAGTGTCAAGCAATATATCAACTACAGATCAGTGAGAAAGTAAAGGACCTCTTCCATGACCTTTGTACATCAGGCATACAGTCATCATCATCATGTAGCAGGTCCTTTGCAGAACTTCGCTCTCATCACGGTCCGCCTGAAAGAAACTCGGTCTCTCGCCAGTTTCTCTCGCCTCATGTACTTTCATACTCAAAGAGTCACTTATATCCTGTGCCCATCTTCCTGTCAGTCGGCCCCTGCCCCTCCTTCCTGGTACCGTGCCTTCTGCTATAATTTTTTCCAATCCGTTGTGGTGCTTGATATGACCAAAATATTGCAGCTTCAGGCATACAGTGCTAGACCAATATTTGTATGGCCCAACTGGTCGTCAATGGGTGAAGTGGTCAACATCAGGCCAGCTACCTTTACTTCCCAGGACATTACCTAGTACCCATTTTAAGTTAGGTTGAAACAGGAGCCAAGGTCAGTTAAAAAAAAAAAAATTTGCCTCAACGAGTTTATAAACCCTAGACTTTAGGGTGGACAGTCAAGCATCTAGTCACTACACTAAAGCCGCTCCTTTAATACTGGGTACAATACAGTAAGTAATAAACCTGTGATAAACAAATCACACAGGGTTGGTAAAGGAAAGTAAAACCCAGTTGTAGAAAATAAACAAAGTTGCAGATAATAATATCAACATTTTTTTGTCATCATTACGACTAAGAATTGTGGGGAGGAACAGTTTTTGATCCAGTTTTTGATGAGTAGCAATGGTTATTGTCATTGAGAATTTCTTTAATGTTATCAATCCAACCTTTTGTTTTCACATCAGACCTTTTCATGTGTAGCAACTGTGTTGGCAGTTGTCGGGGCTGCATTCTGACAAGAGGACCAAACCATTTATCTTTCTGTTTCTCACTTTGTCTATGATTACGCTGGCAGCTTTCCTCATGCATCTCATTTCAAAGGTGTTAATTTTATCCAGATTTACCTTTGATAAGTTCGCTACTGGGAGTAGAGTACTGGTATGAATGAATACCAATCAAAGTGTATTTTTGTAATCACAAAGAAAGTAAACCCTCCATAACACCACACACACACAGAAAATGAGTCAACAGAACAATACACAAGCAAGTGAATCTATTCCACTACCTGGATACTTGAATAGAGCAAATAAAAGATGTCAAAAGCAAATGTGAGAAGAGGAGGAGTTAGGAGAAGGTTTACTTACATTAAAGTACTTGAGCATCTCAGACATGGCCTGAGCAAACCGGTTCAAGCTTGCCTGAAATTAAAAAGAAAACAATCACATGAAAAAATCTTCACATGTGCAGTATTCATTTCAACAAATAGGACTTTCACATTAACAAGCTGAATATTCACAATAAAATATTCAAGCTATCAATTAACCAGTAGAGCACTCGCATTAAACTGTTCAATGTGAACATCAGAAGGTACAAGATGCACATATCAACAAGTATAAGATGCACATCAACAAATGGGAGATTCACACCAACTTGTAGGAAAAACACATCCACTAGTGGGAGGTTCAACTGAGTAGAAGATTCCCATCCACAAATGGGAGATTCTGAGTGGGAGACTGACATCAGTAAGTGGTAAGTTCACATGAAAAAGTGTGAGGTTCATTTCATGTCAACAATTGGAAGATTTCCATCAACAAATGAGAGATTCACATCAAGAAGTAGGACATTCTTATCAACAAGTGAAAGGTTCATATCAACAATTCAGAGTTCACACCAACAAGTGAAAGGTTCAATTGAGTGGGAGATTCCCATCAACAAATTGAAGACACACATCAATGTGACAGACACAAACAAAAAAGTTGGAGATTCACATCAGAAAGAGATTTACTTAACAAGTAGGAAATTTCCATCAATAAGTGGGAGATTCAAATAAAAAAAATAGGAAATTCACATCAACAAGCAAGAGAACCACATCAACAGGTTGGAGATTCATAACACAATACCTGCCACAGGTCTTGCTGTGAAATATTAATATCCCTCTATACATAATAAGATAACCAGATGCAGTAAGTTCAAACATGTTTCAAGTGTCAAATATTTTTATATGTCTATCAAACAAACCACTGACTAAATATGTACATTAAATTTACTGGAACTTTACAACACATCTCTTCATTTTTTTTTTCACTTTCTCTTTTACCACTTAGGGTGTCATGGGAAATATTAAGTTCTGCTTTTTTGCTCTTCTGGCTGCTTCGACCAGGGACATATTCTGCTGTGGTAGAGTTACTCTGACATTATCTTTCCATCTTGGTCTTGCTTTGCCTTGGGATCTATGTCCCCCTCCTTGTCTAGTGTATGTCTTGTATGGTATGGTGTCCAATTAACCTTGTCGCACAGGAATGCTACACAAATATTTTAATCACCCTGTGGTAATTCCTGAAACAAAATTTCTGAAACAACAATTGTACACAGTCACTAATGCAGCAAATTCAGTGAGAAACAGAAGATGAAATGGTCTGGTCATATACTGAGAATACAGCCAGAACAACTAGCAATGCATGCGCTTCACATCAACATATCTGAAGTGAAAGCAAGAGGCCGCCCTAGGAGAAAACAGACTGATGACATTAAAAAAAGGTTAGTTGCGTATCCTTTACAGGACATTGCAGAACCAACCCCATCAGCCCCTGGCTGTTGTGTGGTCAACCAAGTCAGGCAAATTTATGTCGAGTAGTTTGCCATTGCTTTCTGGACGGTCGGCTCCCTGATACCACTGTTGAAACCAACGCAAGGCGTATGCCCCGCAGCTAGGATCGAACCCGGTGCCCCAGCATTACGAAGTGTTCGCATCGACTTAGCTGCAGAGCCGACGATGACATTAAAGAGCTTCTAAATCAACACGGAATGACAATAACCAATGCTGTCCATCAAGCAGTGGATCGCAAACTATTCGTCCCTACAACACTTAACGGCAAAAGTGGAAAATGATGATGATAATGACTAATATATTTGTAAACACTTTATCTAATTTTTTCGAAATATACAAAGATACAGAAAGGCGCAGTAATCAGTAGACATAAACAGAGTGAAGCCCTAAATGGCCCACATTCTGGGATATTTAACAATGCATCAGGTGACTCATGCCATGACACCATAACCTCTATCAATGAGGTTCACAGGAAAAATTGATGCCGACTTGGCTTTTTAAAAAAGCTATTTGGCTGGCAGAAAAACCACCTCTAACGATACTTTTGGATACTAGATTCATATCCTGACCTTATAAACGTGCACAGGGGCCACTAGCATTAACTATAAAGATGTCAGTGTAGAAAAGTCAGAAAAGCAACATTTGTGAGGAACTAGACCCAATCAGAAGTGTAATTTTGCAGCTTCCTGGGATGAAAGGGTTAATGAAATGTCTTCACACAATGCTATAAACTGTATGATCGAGTGCTAGGGCTCAATTTGTGCCTGGATGGTTTATTTAAAAAAAAAACATATTCTTGTGGTTTCGGTCTGTGGTATGAGAGTCGCCCATTGAAAAGATTGTGGCCACACCCTGTTATATTCCTAGAAAGCAATTTTATATCTTTTCATTGAGGAGACGGTGTATTTTTTATGTTTGCCATAGAGTTACAAAGATTTGAAAATGGAAGTATAGAAAAACAATATAAAACAAAAAAGCACATACATACACACGAATCTACACCATTTATCTTGTGTTATTACATATTCACTGTATGTACATGTGCACAGAAACATTTTACAAGTGTTCACATAGAATAATCAAAAGCATCAAAACAATGTTTTCTCATTGTAAATTCTAACAATGAAGACGCAAAAACAGATTGCACAATTTACAGCCTGACATATTTTGCTGTATCTCGGCAGGTGCATACTATAGAATGCAATTGATACAATGAAGAAAATAAACAAATCTTTCCAACTGAAATCCACAATCAACTACACTCAAAAACAACTGAGTGTTTTACTGGCGCCTCTTGGACCCACACATCTGATTTCAGCAAAACTGTAATTATCATCTTTCAAGGCGGGATTGTAGGAGAGCATCAGTTACATTCTTTTCCCCCCTAAAGGCAATACAAAAACTCTTCAATAAATTCAAGATGCACACAAAATACCGGAAGGAAAAGAGAGTAAAATATTTGTGATGTCATGCAGAATTTTTTTTACATATGAATGCACTTCAAGAGGGAATTCACAAAGAGTAATTAATAAACCAAACTGTTGGACAGAAATATCTACTGCAAATGTAAATAAGGGAGCAGCAGTAGTGGAACAATTAGATTTGGCTCTAATTTGTATAATCAGTCTTTAAAAAATCAATTTTTTCAAAACTATATTGACTGAAAAATTAAATCTATAAAATACTCTTAAGAAAAAAAAAATACAGAAGAAAAAATATTCTTAGAACTTTAAAAATGAAAGATTCCTAGCTTAACACAGAAAATCATGCCATGCTATGATCAGATAGATTCCATATTTATACTCTAGCTGGCAAACTCACGACAATGCCTGTAGTTATTACAAGTGAGTTATTATTAGCACTGGGAAATGAGACCTTTTCAAAAATCCCTGGGAATATCATACACAGACCACATCACAAATATTGAAGTTCATTGTATCATTACTCAAACACTGGCAGCTGTGACCTTTTTTCTAATAACAGCTACATGAGGGGAAATGCAGTGGTAAGATATGTTACGAGATCTAATGATCTCTTTAGTCAAGAATTGACATCATCACAGCACTTGGAGGATTCCCATTCGTGCTCCGTCCTCATCTTCAGCAGCCAGCGCAGAGTTCCAATACTGATGGTACCTGTCACAATCTGGTTTAATGTCCGTCTTGCCTTTCCTCTGAGTGTAGTGAACAGCCAGACCCTCTGGTTACACCCAGGTGCCTCATTCTCTCCAAGGCCATAATAATCTTGTTTCTCTACTGATTCTGCTGCTTGTTCCCAAAGGGCCTTGATTACATCTGCCTTGTCATGTATCAATCCACCACCCAGTGGTGCAGATCCAGCCAATCTGTCTGCCTGTTCATTACCCACTACGCCGACATGGCCAAGTATGCTCACTACTTGTGACCTTCCCAGTGAAGCTTGCCAATCTACTCGAAGCATCCCTGTCTTCAACTTTCTCAGCATGCCTTCAGATTCTGTTACAATTACGACCTGTGTATGCATCTTGTTCTCTAGCCACCGGAGAGCTACAGTTACCGCCTCCACCTCCATTCTCATGCTGCATGATGTAATGATGAAATTCACTGTATAACTCATACACTGGCAGCTATGCACTTTTTTCTAATAACAGTTACAAGAGGGAAAATGCAGTGGTAAAGATATGTTAAGAGATCTACTGGTCTCTCCGATATGGATTCAAATCCAAGATCTTCATGCCAACCTAGCCACTACGCTTCACTGGTCCTGAAAATATATCTATTATAAATTCAAAACCTAATCAACAAACAATTTTGTCTCCAGATTTCTAATTAAGCTGGAGTGATTTTTTGGTGGACACTGGAGTGAAAAATGGCTACATTTCTATCTCTTGTTGTTTGGAGTAGCCATTAACTGAGTAATGACAAAATGTTGCAAAGGCAATATTGGCATTGATTGTGTAAAGAAAATACAACTGGAAGATCCCAATTTCACAGATGTATTGTTTTGTTAGGTAAAAAATAACAAAGACATGCAAAGAAAAACTGACGATTTGTCTACAGATTCAAAAACAGTAATACAAATAAGTTATGAGAAAACAAATATATCAAAGATACCAACAACAACAGATCATGTAGATCTCACACTAGAAAACAAACTAAATAAAGTAATGGACCATTTCCCTTATTTATTTAGCAATTTTAACTCTCAAGAAGATACAATAAAGGAAATTATGATATGCACTGGCAACGCAACAACAGTCTTTAAAAGTTTGAACAAATTGTGGAGCTCCAAGTTGTACAGCTTCAAGACTAAACTAAGAATCTTCAATTGTAATCTTATTTCAATTCTAACATATGCCAGCAAAAGTTGGAGAACCACCAAAGATAAGGAGCAAAAAGTAAATGCGTTTGAAAACAACTGTCTGAGAAAAATCATGAACGTAAAATGAGATGAATTAAAAAGTGAGGAAATCAGAGAAATGTCTGAACAAATATCTGTATCGACTGCAATGAGACAAAGAAGGTAGGGATATATTCGGCACACTCTGAGAGGAAATGAGCAAAGAATTAAAAAAACAAGCATGCTGAAATAGAAAACAGTCTGAGAAAAAGAGGACGTTCAGAAGAGCATTTTTATGAGAGGCTAAAAATGCTGAGTTGAACTCCATGTCAGAAATCGAGAGAGTTGCATGCAATAGAGCAGAGTGGAGGAATCGAATGCGAGCCCTGTGTGACATTTAACGACACACAAAGGGTGATGATGATGATCATATGCCCAATGCACCAAAATTGTGAAAAAGGTCCATGACTTAACACCGATGTGAGAATGTTTAATAATTTTCACCCCCATGTGGGTTCTGAGGTCACAACTGTGGGAAGGGAGAGGGAAATAAATTACCTGCACCCCTAAGAAACATGTTGTAAAAGCGGTCTTTCCTTTGAAGTCAGTGCATTTGCCTGAGGGGCAGGAACAAATAGTGTGCAGACAAATAAACCATATCTGTAAAACAGATGTGCATGTGAATCTCAAGTTCTGGCAAAAGACTGAAGCTGAGAAGTGGATGAACAACAAGAGTTTTCCACCTGAATTTCTTCTTCTTTTTCTACTTTTCTAGCACCCAATGTAGCATAGGCCCTCAACTAACTCACGCCAAGTCCTATCTTTTGCTATCGCATGCAATTTTTCCCATGTCCTCCCTATCTTTCTAGCTTCATTCTCCAGCTCCCTTCTCCATGTGTTTTTTGGCCTTCCTTTATTCCTATGCCCCTGAGGTTCCACTGCAAAGACATTCTAGTTATACTGTTCTCCGGTTTTCTCAATGTGCGTCCTATCCAACGGCAGCGTCTTTTCTTCACCTCTTGGTCCACTGGAGCTTGCTTAGTTCTCTCTCAAAGCTCTACATTAGTGATTCTATCCCTAACTCCCTCTATTCTGCGCAGGCACCAGTTAATGAATGTCTGTAGTTTATTAGTAATTGCCTTAGTTCTCCATGTTTCCGCTCCACACAAGAGTACTGGTTTAACATTCAAATTAAACATTTTAAGTTCAGTATCTCTTTTAATTTCTTTTGACCTCCACAAATTCCCTAATGCTATGAAAGCTCCTTGTGCTTTTTGTATTCTTATTTTAATTTCTCTATCAGTTCCTCCATCATTATCTACATTACTGCCCAAATAGGTGTATGATTCCACTTCTTGGAGTGGGATGCCATTAAGAAAAACCACATTACTATTTGCCTGATTTATTCTCATTATCTTTGACTTTCCTTTATGGATTTTCAGACCTAGCTGCTGCAATCTCGTATCAATAATATTTAATTTATCTTGTATCTGATTCCCTGAATGGGACAAAAGAGAAATATCTGGGTTTACAGCCAGTCAGTGAATGAAAGAAGAAATAAATTTCAACTGCTACAAACTCACTAACAAAAGCAAGTGACACGATTACTGTCAATGTCACTTGATAGATGAAAGGTCACAAGACCGATATCACAGCCAGACATAAATGTCACATGATAATGTTGTACCCAGGTTAGTGGAGGTCAAAGGTGAAATCAGCTACCGTTCCCATCATGCCTTTAAAGTCACTCAAAAATATTTCACATGGTAAACATCATCATCTCGTTGTACCATTATGTCACACAGGGTTCGCAGCTTATTCCTCCATTCCATTCTATTATGTGCGATAATTTTAATAACATGGATATGAAATCCAGTCCAGCACCTTTCACCTCTCTCATTGACGTCCGCCTGAGAGTTTTTGGGATGTCCTCACTTTGTCAATCCACTTGTTTCCTAATTAAGTGCCTGTTTGGTGATTCTCTCTTTGCTACTCCTCTGAATGTGCCCAAAATATTGCCATATTCTCTGTCTTATAACTGTTGATACCAGTAGTTGTCTATACAAGACAAGTCTGTTACTGCTTTACATTTCTTCACATAGTAATGCCCGTATAAAAGAAAGGCATCAATTTGACCCTTTCGTCCTGTGAATGCTAAAATAATTGGTCATAAACCCGTAGAAATTTCTGGAAGATATTGTTGTAAAGAAAAACCACATTGCGCTCAGGTTACTAATAAATTGTTTATAAATGTATTTATATTTTTAATTAAAATTTTTTTTTAAATGTACAAAGAATCTACGGGGGTTTAACTCATACAGTGACATTGTGGTCTTTATCAATGAGGGTTATGGAAAAACTTGAGATCAACTTGGCTTTCCAAAAAAGCCACTGGGGTCATAAGGAACCCCCCTGAATGCAATTTTTAGTTTCTTTATTCATATCCTTGCCTAATATACACACTGCATATGAGACCAACATAATTACAACTGCGCTTTTTGAGAACAGGCCACTTCAGAAAGCCATTGATTGAAGATTAAATGGTTAAAGTTAGTTGAATGTTCTCTTCAGAACAACACAAATCAACAGTAGCATTTATATTATGTTGTGTAGTTTTACTGAACAATTTTATGTTTAATGTTGGTCCTGGACAGATAAAAAGAGTAATGAAGATTTAAAAGAAACTGACTCACAAAGAGAACTGACTGCCCACATTATACAGAGACAATCTACATTCTTTGGTCATGTGATGAGAAGGAGAAAACTGGAGTATATCATGATGGCAGGAAAGCTGGAGGAGAGGAGAGGCAGACCGACAGAACAGATGCTCAGTCTGACATCATGGCATGTAAGATCATCTGTGTCAGAGTTGACTGAAAATATACAAGACAGAAGGTTTTGGATAGATATGGCTACCAATGCCACATAGCTTGGACTTTAAAAAGAAGAAGTTGGCTGCAGCTTTCTTAAGCATACAACATCCTTACCATTTTTTTTCACCTCCTCCTTCTTTTTCTTCTTCTTCTTCTTCTGTGTTTGCACTTAAAAAGCCCTTTAGCAGGCTATGTTGTGGTTAACAGTTAGGCTGCGAGTGATACCTGCGCTTTTTGGCACAACACATTTGATTTCAGCAAACTCTTAATTACTTGCCTTTTATGAAGTGCTTGTTAAAGGACAGTTGATCTACTCTACTGTGTCCACAAAATTGAAAATAAATGTAAAGTCTTAAAGATAATTATAATTTTATTAACTTAAAAAAATGAGGAAAATAAATTACTACATTTTTCAGTGCATAGAATGCTGCTATGTTTAGGATGCTCCATTATTTTAACCTAAAATTTGGAAATAAAAATTGTAAACACTTCTTGTGTGTAAAGAGCGACCACCAATTTTAGACTGTCAAAATTTCGGAAAACATATCACCTCATATAAAGTAAAATATGGCACTTTCCATAATTACTTCCTGTACGCTGTCACAGAATCTACTTGGGGGGTGGGGGGAAGGGGGGGAGGTGTAAAAAAGTATATCAACATAACCAGAACCCTGGTTTGAGACCAGTCCAGTCACCCGACTAGGCTTGTAAGCATATAAAGTAAAAATATACATCCCAGTGATAAGTTCAACTACATATGAAAATAGAATGCAATCTGCATAATAAGCCAACTACAATGCTTAAAGTATCTTCAACAAAAGGAACTGCACTTCCCACAACCACTTCCTGTTTTCTCTTTCAAAGAGAAAAGCTTGTTCATATAACCACAACCTTACTTTGAACCTTCATTGTTAATATGTGCGTGGGTATGTATATATGAGTGTGTGTGTTAATAACCTTATTGTAGTTACTGATAAGCAGACTCGTAGAAGAGAGAAGTACGAGAGAGCCCACTGACACATGTAGAAGTGAGAAGTATGAGGGGGCCCACTGATATGAGCAATGCTATCGAGAGCTGACTATTTACAAAAGTAATGGCAAACTACTGAACATAAACCTGTCTACTAAAACCATACAGCCAAAACATTGCTGGGGCTGGTTCCGCAAAGTTTTACAGTAAAGGATATACAGCTAACTTCAGATATTGATAAGTTCCTGAATATCTACTCTGTGGTATTTTTCTTCTACGTTCACCAGCTGTAAGCTCCGGTGAAAAGTCCTGGTTGTTCGTCCTTTTGGACTTTGTGCCAGGGCCCTGAATTTCTTTGGTCGATTTTGTTATTCAGTTATAAAAGATTCATTTATTTGCAATATTTCATTCAACTGTTACTGTAGTATGCACCTGACAAGAAACAGCGAAATATGCCAGGCATTTAACTGTAAACTTTATTGCTGTGTCCTCTTTGTTAAAATTTACAAACATTGAGAAAAAAAATGTTACTAAAAAAAAAAAACGAACATGATGTTTTGCCTCAGTAACTAGTTATAGATCATGCACCATCAATATCGCACTGCTGACTCAGAAGAACTAGGCAACGGTGTTTAATGGGTGAAGTCCAGGGTTCAAAGGGTCAAATGCAGAATTCAAAGGAGAAAACTAAACACAAATATTCAAAGCAAATCCATTCACAGTGCTGTTTCAACAAGGCGCTTATAACAACTAGTTCACAGAAAACCTTGACAAGCAAGAACAGCCAACCCTGGCTCTTTATACTTACTGAGACTTTTGTATTGTCCTGTTGTGATATTCATAAAGGCAAAATGAAACATAGGACATGGGTGGGTATGAGTATGTCAAATATGGGTCACACATTAGTAAACAATTTGAGATTTATATTTTGTTCATAATCTGTTGAAACCATCATAAATAGCTGGTATCATCGGGGCGAACAGACTAAAATGGTTGCGGCTCATAGAGACAATGTAAGATAACACAGAGACACACACACATACAAAAACCATGTGGAGTAATAATATACAGGCAGATGCACAACATGCCGACACCAACCGGAAAGAGAAAGGCAAATCACCTACAAAGATGTGCAGTCACTAACTAGAAAGAGAAGGGCAAATCTCCTACAAAGATGTGCAGTCACTAACTGGAAAGAGAAGGGCAAATCACCTACAAAGATGTGCAGTCACTAACTGGAGGAAAGAGAAGGGCAAATCACCTACAAAGATGTGCAGTCACTAACTGGAAAGAGAAGGGCAAATCACCTACAAAGATGTGCAGTCACCAAATGGAAAGAGAAGGGCAAATCACCTACAAAGATGTGCAGTCACTAACTGGAAAGAGAAGGGCAAATCAACAACAAAGATGTGCAGTCACTAACTGGAAAGAGAAGGGCAAATCACCTACAAAGATGTGCAGTCACTAACTGGAAAGAGAAGGGCAAATCACCTACAAAGATGTGCAGTCACCAAATGGAAAGAGAAGGGCAAATCACCTACAAAGATGTGCAGTCACCAAATGGAAAGAGAAGGGCAAATCTCCTACAAAGATGTGCAGTCACCAAATGGAAAGAGAAGGGCAAATCTCCTACAAAGATGTGCAGTCACCAAATGGAAAGAGAAGGGCAAATCACCTACAAAGATGTGCAGTCACCAACTGGAAAGAGAAGGGCAGTCACAAAGACGAATGGAGGCAGGTAATATCAGCAAAAACGAATCTAAGGGCTCATAATGTTAAAGAAACAGATGGAAGAGGAGTAGGAGGGGGAAAAAGAACATTTTTTAAATGTACATATTTCCTGTGGGAACCTTCAGGACCCTAAGGACCATTAAAGCATCATGATAAACAAACTGTAATGGACTAACTGCCACTTAAAAATGTAGAAGAGAAAATTATGAGGGGGCTGACTGACACACTTAGAAGAGAGAAGTACAAGGAAGCCCACTGACACATGTAGATGAGTTAAGTACAAAGGGGCCCACTGACACACATAGAAGAGAGAAGTACGAGGGGCCAATTGACAAACGTAGAAGAGAGAAGTACAAAGGAGACCACTGACACATGTAGAAGAGAGAAGTATGAGGGAGCCAACTGACACATGTAGAAAGAAAGAAGTACGAGGGGGCCCAGTGATACACGTAGAAGAGAGAAGTATGAAGGGACCCATTAACACACGTAGAAGAGAGAAGTACAAAGGGGCCCACTGACACACGTACAAGTGAGAAGTATGAAGGGGCCCACTGATACATGTAGAAGAGAGAAGTATGCGGGGGCTTCTCATAAGAACCTTAATTTTATTTTTTATATTTATGAATGTATTCTGAAAAAGTAAAAACCAGATGCATTATTTTTCAATGTAATCACCACTGTGTTCAATGCAAGTCCTCCAGTGCCAGTAAAGTGTTCTGATTCCTAAAGAAAAAAATGTCTCCTGGTCGTGTGTGTGTTAGCATTCATGCACCACCTGCTGTAACTCTTCAACAGACGGATAAGTCTTTCCTATCAACAGCTCTATGAGTTGTCCAGACAGGTGGAAATCCCTTGGGGCTGGGGAGTATGAAGAATGTGGTACGCACTGAAATTGGAGGCCTTTGATAGTTTCACCCAATGCACAGCAGGCAGTTTGAGGTTGGGCACTGTCATGCTTACTCAGAAGTCTAAATCTGGATTTGTGTGTCCAAGATGATTCCTGAGTAGATCTGTAAACGTATCACTGGTGACAGTTTTCTCTAATGGCATGCAGTTTTTTTTTCTTCTTCTGCGTTCGACATCAGTCATGCTAAACATTGAGTCCCGTCTGGGTCACAAATAGGATTGTGCGTTTAAGGTCGTCACCGGTCCCCCCATAGCTTCTCTTTCAATGTGGCTCCCTTGGGCCAGATCCACAGTCTTTGCTGGGAGAGGTCAGGGCAGTACTGTAGTATGTGCCCAGAGGTCTGTCTTTCTGCTCCACAATCACAGGCAGAAAATTCTTTTATGCCTATCCTGTTAAGGTGTGCTCGAAGACCACAGTGTCCAGTCCGAAGTCTAAAAATTGCATGCAGTGCAATCACAAAACTGCTTTGTCACGTAAAGACAAATGGAGTAATCTTAAAAGACAAATAGAGTAACTGTAAACTAATACAATTTTTGGAACTCATAAAACAGACAGAAATGGAAAAAAAAAATAGCTCAATTAGATGGTTAGTCAGTTTTTTTTTTTTTAAATAACTTAAAAATTTGCTTCGCTAGATGCATTTTCTATACACATAAAATATTAACTCTTAAAGGTCAGGAGGTCAATATTTGGGAATAAGTGTTCTTATTTGTCGATGGTAAGTAAACATTACTGAACATTTTGTTTCATTTTACACTGGTAGAATTTTTTATATCCAGTTCATTATCGTTTATAATGACTCTTCTTAGCATTCACAGGCTGTAAACTTCTGCTTGTTTTTTATTCACTTCTACATGTTTGGTCTAGGTCTAGGACACTTGGTGTTGTATGCACATCCATTTCATAGATCTTGCTTAAGTGTGAGCAGATGGTTGGTTCCTTGCCTCTCAGGCAGAAGACTTTGAAGGTTACACATCTAATTAGTCGAATTTTACAGCAGGTTTGTACAGATGGTGGGCAGCAGTGGATCTATTATTCCTTCCCGAAAATTGGACCCAAGAACCCCACACTGGGAACCCACAGTATGGCATTTGATCAGTTATTAGTTTGGACTATCAAGACACCTCTTGGTCTACGGATGTAATGATATCCTCCTTACTAGCTCCACGAGTGTAAAATGTTCGTTATTGAAAATCATGAAAATAATTAATTTTTAATCTTTAACCGAAAAACTGAAACAGAAAGACAAATCTAGCACCAAATATTCCAAGACCCTTAAGATTTAAATAAAATAATAATTTTTGAACAATTTTATCCATCACTTACAGACACAAGGTTGTCGTCACTGAAGTAATTGGCAAGATCCCTCACACCTAACACAAATGCACTGAAAGCATGTAAGGGGAAAAATAATAAAATAGTTTCAAATTAGTAGTGTTTAAATTTAAAATATAGTCAATGTTTTAAAAAAAATATAAGTAAAATTGATTTCTTTTGGCATAAAGATTGTCCTAAAGATTTTTAATTATTCGATTTACAAAACAAAAAATTAATAAGCTAATTCAGTTAATATAAAACTAATTACTAATTTAAAAAAAAAAAAATGAAATTGTTAACTGATTAATTTTAAAATGAAAGAGAAATTAACAATCAGTCATTTTTTTTCATTTTTACCTAAAAGATTCTCATAGTTAAGAAAAGGACCTTCTTACACACCATAAGGCGTACTGGGCATGTAATGCTAGACACACATTTTATAGATCAATCAGCACTCGGTGGGTTAAAGTCGAGAGGATCAACTTCTCTGGGTTTTACTTCACATGGCTCGGGTCTCTCTCAACAGAACAGCCAGCTGAGTGCCAAGAGTGTCACATAAATCATGAACCCCGTAGCTCCCAGTGATCTCCATAGAAATTTCCTGAGAGAACTGAACTTCACGGCTGTGAAACAAACCCACAACCTTCACAGCACCAGGCAAATGGCTTGACCATTTCACCACAGAGATCCCCAGTGGGTGATTAGTCAACATCATGCCAACCTTTGCTTCTCAAGACTTTACCTAGTTCTCATGTTAGGCTGGGTCGAGCTGGGAGCCAAGGTATTCACATGAAAGGGACATAAAAGGTTCTGCTTCCTAATTTTCTGGCTGCCTTGACCATATTAATTTATATCTTTCAGGCCAAAACAAGTGTTTAATTAAAGTAACAATCTCTTATGATAGCAAAATGGAAGTAACACCTATCCCGAAATAAAAGAGTTAAAAGAAAGAGTCAAGTAAAGAAAGAACAAACATACAAGAGTCATTTCAAGACAGTAAATCAACAGCATTACAAAAAAAGACGGCAGACAAAACAAAGAAAGAGAGATCCAAGAGGCAGCCATAAATATGTAACAAGATCTCTCACACTAAAACTGCAAGAGACAACATCTTCATGCTAACAAAGCAAAAGAATAAAGACACACAAAGAGCCATTTCAAGACAAGACCAAGTGCAAAACAAGATGGACAAACCACACACACACACACAGCAAAATAGAGAGAGAGAGAGAGAGGAGTCAGACGGTCAGAGAGACAGACAGAGAAAAAGGGAGAGCGCTCAAAGAAGAGTTTGCTATAATTAAGTGAAAAGATCTCACAGACTCAGACTGCAATACATAAAATCAGCATGCTAACAAAGCTAAAAAAATAAAGACAACCTACCCACTGGTGCTGCTAAACATCTTCCCGGCCTCAATCATAGCTGTGCATTGTTTCACTAGCTGCAAGCAGAATACACAAGAACAGCTCAGTGATGTTCTTTATTCACTGACTCTTTTGAGAATATTCCCCATTCATGTATGTATCGACAGTTCTTAGTATCGCTATCCATCCCCATATCCACTGTTATTTGTTTTCCCCTTTAACACCTTATTCATTGTTCTTAGTCTCCATATCTATTGTTCGTTGTCCCCCCTTCAACTTTGTATGCATTGTTCTTGGACTCCCCATTAGCGCAGTCAATAAAAGACTCGCTTTCAAATCCAACTGCGACTCGCTGCAGGCCATGGCCGGTGTTCGAAACCGAACAGTTCCCGGGTTCACCCAGCCTATAGGAAATATGTACCAGAGTTAACACACTGGGGTAAATGGCGGAACATTGCTGTAGCTACAGAGTTTCGTGCAGAGGGCAACACAGTTGGACAGTTTCTTATCAGCTGACCGTACTGGTGGCTGAGCACTTACGGTTTATAACCCTGTGCAATGAGGCTGGTTCACATCTCCAACTTTACCTTTACCCATTCATCTCTACATCCACTGTTCTTTGTCTCTCCTTCAATATCTTATCCACTGTTCTCAGTCTCCCCCTTCAAAACCTTATCCACTGTTTGTAATCTCCCCTTTCACCGTGCTATCTACTGTTTCAGTCTTTCCCATTCATTTTCATATCCACTGCTCTTAACTCTTAATGCATCTGCATGTTCACTTTTCTTAACTCCCCATTAATCTCTATATCCATCAGTCTAGGTCTCCCCATTCATCTCTATATCCACTGTTCCTATTCCCTCCTTACCAGGATATGTCAAATTACCTCTTTTAAATTCCCCTGTCTCCCCAATAATCAATGAATATATAGTCCTATAGTTCTCTATTCATCCCTATTTCTATTATTCTCTCTCCCCAATTCATCCCTTTTATTCTCTCCCATTCATTTCAATGTCTATAGCTCTTAACTTCATATTTATCTCCATATTCCTTGCTTTTAGTCTCCCCATTCATCTCCATATTCATGGCTCTTAATCTCAAACTTCACCTCTATATTCATGGCTCTTAACTCCCCATTCATCTTTATATCCATGGTTCTCAACTCCCCATGCATCTCCATTTTCATTGCTCTTAACTCCCCATGCATCTCCATTTTCATGGCTCTTAACTCCCCATTCATTTCTATATCCATGGCTCTCAACTCCCCATGCATCTCCATTTTCATGGTTCTCAACTCCCCATGCATCTCCATTTTCATGGTTCTCAACTTTCCATGCATCTCCATTTTCATGGCTCAACTCCCCATGCATCTCCATTTTCATGGTTCTCAACTCCCCATGCATCTCCATTTTCATGGTTCTCAACTCCCCATGCATCTCCATTTTCATGGTTCTCAACTTTCCATGCATCTCCATTTTCATGGCTCAACTCCGCATGCATCTCCATTTTCATGGTTCTCAACTCCCCATTCATCTCTATAACCATGGTTGTCAACTAACCATGCATCTCCCTTTTCATGGTTCTCAACTCCCCATGCATCTCCATTTTCATGGTTCAAATCCCCATTCATCTCTATATCCATGGTTGTCAACTAACCATGCATCTCCCTTTTCATGGTTCTCAACTCCCCATGCATCTCCATTTTCATGGTTCAACTCCCCATTCATCTCTATATCCATGGTTGTCAACTAACCATGCATCTCCCTTTTCATGGTTCTCAACTCCCCATGCATCTCCATTTTCATGGCTCTTAACTCCCCATTCATCTTCATATTCATGGCTCTTAGTCTCCCCATTCATTTCCATATTTGTGGCTCTTAGTCTCTGGGGTGCTCAGTGGCCTCGAAGCATGGCGTCAGCTTCGAGTGCTGGATGTCCCGGGTTCGGGCCCCGGTAAAAGCTGGGAATTTTTCACATGGACTTCTAGTAATTTCTCCTGGTCTCTGGTTAGTAAGATCGGATGCCTGTGTGTATTTTTGCACATGTAAAAAAAAATCGCTTGGCAGTCTGAAATCGAAAAGAGTAGCCTAATGGCGCTGCCTGGGCAAAATTTGGAGTTAAAAATCTATCCAAAGTATTTCAGGATCCTTGCCAGCGCTACAGAGTTTATGCACTGCGATGAAATTTTTCGGACTTGGGCATAAGTTAGAAGACGAACGGAGCACTTATGGGTTACTACCCTTGTGCCATGATGTTGATCCCCTGTATAAACCATAAGTTTCCCAGTTCATCTTAATATCCACAGCTCTAAACTCCCCATTCATCTCTGTATGCATGGCTCTTAATCTCTAAATTCATTTCCATATCTCCCCGTGTGGGTTCCGGGGCCCTATTATGGGAAAAACAAGAATAGACCCACTGCCTACCAAAAGCATGTCGTAAGAGTCGACTAATTGAGAGCTTCCTTCGAAGATGGAGTGTATCTGCCTGAGAGGCAAGGAACCAACAGTCTGCATACAGATCTGTCAAACGGAGGCACACGCAACACTCAGGTTCTGGAACAGGATTGCAGTCCAGAAGTGGACGAACAATCAGAACTTTTCGCCAAGTTTACAGCCGGTGAACGTGAAGAAGAAGAAGATCTCCATATCCATGGCTTTTATCTCCCCTCCCATTATCAGACATGCATTCTTAGTCTATCCAATCATCTATATATCCACCACTGGTTATCCTTTATAGTGGGGGTTGAGGGAGCCCTGTCTTTATGACACCAATGGCTTTTTTAAACAGTGCATGACCCATTTAAAAAAGACAGTTAGTCTCCCCAGTTATATTCAAATTATTCTTTACAACCCAAACAAAAATACACAGACTACGCTCTTCTCCTCCATTTTTTTTTATCACCAGCCATGGTGGTGTAGTAGCTAGGCATTCCGCCTGCCAGCCCTCTACCAAGCCTTTATTAGTCACCTTTTATGACATGCTTGTTAAAAGACAGTGTCTATATTCTATACCCCTCAGCCCCACAGAACCCAAAAACACACATGGGGGTCTCTATGTACCTGATAATCTCAAGATTTTTTGTTAAAATGGAAAAACAGTATCATCATTTTACTAATCGCCAACCATTCAGAAGAACATGCCCCACACAGCTTTTATAGTCTACTTAAAAATACCAGAGAAAAAAACTAGTCACTGAAAGTTTCATAAAAAATGGTATTACTGTTTGAAATAAAAATTAATGAAATGATAGTACACTTGAGACCAGCTGGTAGGCAACGACTCTTAGACCTTATCAATCAATCCTAGACCCAGGGACTACTTCCTAAAGAATGGAAGGAAACAGATATAGTCCCCATAGCCAAGAAAGGAAAACAAATTCAGTTACCACTCTATAAGCTGCATTGGAAAAACCATGGAAAGATTAGTGAAAAACAGATTACTTAATTTCCTGGAAGAAAATAAAATATTGGATGACAGCCAATCAGGCTTCAGGAGATACAGAAGCACTGATAAACAAACCTCTTATCTCACACAGGAAATTGAAGATGCTTTCCAGACAAAACACAAATTGCTAGCTACTTTCTTCAACTTTACCAAAGCCTCTGATAAGGTTTGGAAGAAAGGACTTTTGCTAAAACTAGCACACAGTGGGATAAAAAGGCATATGTTTGCCTGGATTAGAGACTTTCTTTACAGAAACTGTGTGAGAGTCAGACTGGAAGAACACAAGAGCAAGCTGGTCGAGTTACAAGAAGGTGTCCCCCATGGAGGTGTTATATGCCCACCCTGTTTATTCTTTTCATCAATGACTTCCCAAAACAGTTTACGACATTCACAAGTGTAGATGACTTGGGGATATGGACCCAAGCTGAACATATAGGAACAACTAAAACAAGAATGCAGGAAGCTATAAAGACAGTTAAGAAATAGACTCTTGATGAGTCACAATAAGCCAGACCAAAACTGTCTCAACTTTCTTCTCTCTTTCCACAAAGCCAGAACAAGTTGATCTGTACCTAGAAAGCAACATCCTTCCAAAAGAGGATAACCCCACATTTGTAGGAGTAAAATTCAAGAAAAAGGCTAACCTGGGGCCCCCACATTAAAGACACCCAAAGGAAAGCTACCGTGCAGCTCAGACTTATGAAGAAACTTACTGGAACAAACTGGGGTGCAGATGCTAACACTTTACGACAAGCATACACAGAATACGTACGACCAAAACTGGAGTATGGCAATGGAGAATCTGCCACTGCAGCCAAATCAAATCTATACAGACTGGACAAAATACAGAACACTGGTCTTAGAATCGTCACTGGAGGTATGAGAAGCACGCCAATCATTGAGCTGGAGGCAGCTTCTAGCCTCCAGAGCTTGAGCTTTCAAAGGGAAGAAAAGGTGTTTACCCTAACAGAAAAAATTAAATGCTTGAACAACAAACCCATGTTCAGAATAGCAAACAGATTAACAAAAAAAAAAAAAAACCGACTGAAAAGACAAAGCTTCCACTTCTATTAAATCTCTACTACGAAAAAACAGTGACATCCTAAAGATGACATTTCTAAAGACCCTTCAACGTGGAAAATGATCTAGGCATACAGTATAGACTTACAGCCAACAGTAAACATCCACAAGACTCCATCAGCAGACTCAACAGAAAGCAACATACAACAATTTTTTGTCTACGAACAGAACACTGCAGGCTCAACTACCACATGCATAAAATAAAGATTGAACTCTCCACAGTGTGCCTGTCAAACAGGACCACAAACACCTGAGCACATTCTGCAGACCTGCCTATTCTAATTACAACTTCAAAAAGACACCTGGCATCAAGAGCAAAGTGTGCAGAGCAAGCACACATGCGAGTTTATAGAGGCAACCCACCTGATGGTCTAATCTGAGCATACGAAACCGAATGTAAAGAAGAAAGAAGAAGAAATAAAAATTAAAAAGCCAGCTACAAATCAGATTATTAGTAAATCTTGATTAGACATGTCTGCATGTCTGAAAGAATTCATTTCAAGCTAAAGATTACAACCATAAAACACCTCGCTGATTTGTGTGTGGAAAT